AGTCATTTGTTATGAGAATTTTATTTCCTCTTACAACCCCGGAGATATTTATGCATCACCCTGTATTTTGGTTGCGACCTCTGATATGAACCTCCGTTTTGCCGCGGATGAAAAATGAAAAAGGCGATAAGACGGAGGGTGGCAGTTGGTGATGGAAGGAACTAGGGAAGCGTCAACTTCTGAATAGTTTCTGCATCCGCCACTGTTCGTGCTGACGAGATGAGTGAAAGTGTTCATAAACTCACCTTTGAATTTAGACGTACACCAAGCTGGCTCTGGTTCGATTTTCATTCAATGGTGATGGTCCTCCATCTAATGCAAGACGTTGTCATAAGACTCATTGCTAGGTTTGTCAACATATGGATCTTAAAGCAGGACGATTTGATCAATTCCAACAATTAGTTATATTTTTAGTCAGACGCAGAAAGTCCAGTGTGCACTAATTGGGAAGATCAACACAAGGCATGCTTGCGCTTAAGCGATTATAAGCTTGAGAAAGTCACAAGACCACAAACCTTTAAATTATTTGATACTTCCTTCAGAGCGATCGTTACATTTTTTGCGTTGAATTTGACATTTCAAGAGGGCTCCGGTAATCGCAAGAAAATACACTCTTAGAAAAGAGTGAGCGATTTTACTCCCTAAAAACGAGGAAGCACAGTCGATAACTATTCCTTCATACGAGCAGAACCCATAATTTCCTTAAGAGCGCGAAAAGGAGGGAGAGTACTTTTCAAACTAGCAGAAAAAGTTAGCGATTATTCTCAGCAAAGAGAGAGGTGAGCGGCATTACTTCCTTGTTTTTAGGAAGCAAAATCGCAAACTCCAGTTTCGCTCCCTTTCTCGGAAATCGCTCACTTTTCTGAGTGTTGAGTACTCTTTTCTGTAATTAGCTTCGCAAGACTCGACTCCTTTGGTTAAGGTGGAGACTCAGAAACATTGGGAGATCCGCCTAACTTTGTCTTTGTAGCCCTTTGAATATCATCCACTTATTGCAGTTATACAGGGTGTTACACGAAAGTCTGACATTCATTTTTGCAATAACTCAAGAATGGTAACATAAAAAGCTTGAAAGTTGGAACTAAAGTAAGAGGGTCTTCGCAAAATAGGTTACAATAACTGAAATTTCAATAGAGATCTTTTCATGTTCGGAATATGACATTCTTCAAATATCCCTATTTTGTCATTAAGAAAATCCCTGCATCGAAAAAAACTGTTCCTTACTGTTCCTACCGTGTCCCCGTGAATGGAAGCTATGACTTCTCGAATTTTTCTTCAGTTTCTCAGCACACCTAGTTATTGTGCGATACACATTGCTCTTATAGCAGCCCCAAAGGAAAAAAAAAAAACAAGGGTTCAAATCTAGGCCTTGGGACAGCACCGAAGCTTGAAATGAATCTATCCAAAACGTTTTCTTACAATTCCAGAATTACGCTGTGGATGCATGAACTTACACAACGTCCGATTCCAAGATGGTGCAACCAGCCATTCAGTTCGTAGTCACAGATTACTTGCAATAAAATAACAGCGGTCGCCTGAATTCAACGGTAACTTTTTAAACTTTTCTCGTCAACACGGATAGGTTCTTACTCTTAATCTTGACGATGGAATGCTGACATGGATGGGATGTCAGAACAAATGGAGTAGGGTCCTCAACATCCCTCAACTTGTATGGTAGAAACATGCTTCTTAAGTGAACTCACCTTTAAAACGAGTCAGTTAATGCCATGAGTATCATCTGGACAGAAGTGTCCTCTCAGAGTTAGGAAGCCCAACCTTGAGCTGTCACTTCTTGCGAATTTGCTTCAATCTAATTGCTATGCAAAAGTTCCAAATTTCACCGCTCAATATTCAGCAATATGCTGGAGTACTCAATAAACAGTTAACAAAGCGTTCACTCCAGCGGTAATCAATGCATCTTTTTCATCTGATAAATGTTTATGAGTGTGTGAATGAAAGACATGCAGTGAAAAACCGTCCACTTTTAATGACACTGCAAGTCATTTGAAATAATGCATTCCATCCCAGCTGGGGTGTACCATTCAAAGCAGAAACAAAGTTCAAAGGTGGACAGAACGAGCAGGGTCACTCTGATCATCCACCATATAGCACATCTGAAAAATTGCCATTATTTTGTCTTTCAGAAAAAAAGGAAAATATTGAGACAGGGCGAGAGTGTGACAAGTAGTGAGGAAAGACATCGGGCACACAGGAAACCATTCATTCGAACAGTTGCATTGTCATCAAAGAAAAAAGAGTACTGTACTTGATTATAAGGAGTTACTCGGATGAATTAATCACAAGAATGTTACCATGGAATACCAACAAGCTCTCTAGCTGTCTCTCCATCAGCATGCAAGAAAAAACTTTGAACCACAAACGTTTGGAGACTTTGGATCCCATAGCATTAGGGTTATACCTTGAATGGGGGAAAAACAAACCTCAAAGACCAAATAAGACAAGAGAAACAAGAAAAGATGCCACCAGGGGAATGTTGAACCAATGCGACTCAATCCATCATGTTACCATCTACTTCACAATATCCCATTTGAAATTTATTTAGCTTCCTATTATGCATAACAAATAAATAGTGATCATATCCATGAAACACTGAAAAGGAAACATTTTCTTGAGCATAGGAAAATAAATGGCTTCAGACTGACTGTTTGTGCAAGTGAAGCAGGATCAGCAAATTGAAGACTCTTCATATCAAGTGAATCCCCTGACCAGCAGAAGTATCAATTACTGGTATGTAGAATGTTATATGAACAGAACACTGGGTCTCTCATTTATATGATTGTGGTAGCATTCTATTGTGTATGGAGGATGAGTTGTCACTGAGTTGGCTTCACCAAATGAACTGGTAAAAAAGAGCAAGAACTGAAAAGGAAGGGGAGTGGAGGAAACAGGATAACCACAGCTCTGTGCTTAATCAGATCAACCAGAATGGAGCCTTACTCTTTTCACAGATCGAGATTCTCCAAGTTCAAACCCAACTGGAATGCTTCAGGATTGACCTATGATACACCTCATTGAAACCAATAGACAGATATTCAACCATAGTCATCTAAGGCATTTGCAAGGCCGATGTGACCAGTAGAGGGTTTTCTTTCTTCGTTCTGGCAAGGAAGGCAAGGAGTGGTGTGGCATTCTAGATCATAAGTTGAAACAACTAGCTTGCTGTGGAAGCAAGCTAGAGGGCCAGCCTCTCCCTGAATAAATTCAAAAAGGGGAGGAAAAAAAAAAAACAGGTAGACAGGGCAGAACCAGTCAAATGTACCAACATCAGGATAACGCCAGACTCAAAGTCTTTTGGAATAATATGTTGCCTTTTCTGCCCTGATGGAAAGTGAGGAAAATATGCTCCTCTTCTCTTAGCCACTTGTGTTTCCACTTATGCTCTAGATTGGTACCAACATGCTTCAAATGGAAGGATGATCCATGGGGGACTTTACAATGAACACACTATATTGACAGTAAATTAAAAAAAAGGATTTTGACACATCTTGGGCCAACAAGCAACAATCTTTCATCTTTGGCACACAAAACATAAATCTCGCTTTCTTCATTCCTTCACTCAGTTTGAAAAAAAGTTCCTTACAATCCTCTTTGTATGTGATACTGGTATTGCTTCCAAGAGACAGGAGAAAATTTATTTAATTATTGTAAAAACACTGTGACAGGCTCTGATGAGAAGAGAGCATTTTCACAACGCTTGAAGAGATCATAATCAACGTTGAAAAGCCTCAAACTGGAAAACAACAATTAAAGCAGATCACTGGAAGACAATTAGCAAAAATTTCTCATTCCTTGTACAAACAAGGGATAGGCAAAAACTCAGGCACTAACCCATTATGATGAAACAGACCTCCTGACATTCATTTTCCACAGCAAACTTATGATGATTTCTGAAGACAATGTCATGGTCATGAGGGGCTATTTTGGGATATGAATCTGCATAGAGCATCTAAGAAGTGATGACAAAAGTTTCTGTCTCAGAGGCACATCTCATAACATGGCAACATATGATATTGACCACTTTTGGGGAGGATTAAAATTTTGCACAAGTACTTGAATGCATATAGTTTGCATAGGATATGGATTGCTAAAAGTAAAAACCCATTTCTTTGTGAATGGCAGGAGATCTGACAAAATGACAAGAGCATTATTATTACATGAAAAGAGTTATTGGAATTACAAATGAAGGAAGTCATCGTTGACATACTGGAGGAGTTCCATTGGGCATGAAGAAAGTGTGTTAGCAGCTTTGTTGACGAAACCTAATGAGTTCTTTGGATGACCACATACAGAATAACTTTACTCTTGCAATGGAGGGATGAAAATGTAATGCCCAACATGAACTCTCTCCTTTTGTATGAATGAAAGCACTGAAAAAACACACCAGTTCACAAGCACTCCTTTCAGATCCAAGTCTGTTTTTCCTATCTAATCCACATATCTCCATCTCATCCCAAGGATCTGTCTTGTCAAGAAAAGCAAATAATCCAGCTTTGAACCTCACCATGAAACATGAAGAGGTATGGGCATCAATCACACAGCTGCTCTCAAATTACCCAGACTAGATGCACACGAACCATGATAGATACTGGTAAAAATGATGAAAGAACTCTGCATGTGAAGAAATCCTGATGGCATTTGAGGGGGACCCTGAAGCTGTGGGGAAAATGACACATAGCTTAGGCCATCAAATACTGTATATCTGTGAAGAAAAATTGGTGACACTTCTATTTCTATACACTCAAGTACAACACAAAATAATTACAGGCATTATAGAAGAAAGGGGATGTAGAGCCTAGCATCCTCTATTACTATACAGATTACAAGGTTGATCAGATCCTCCAGTCTCCTGTCTTTCAGCTGTCAGACAGAAGGCCAACCATAATGCAGGAGCCACATGTGACATGCATAAATGCAGCTGAGAGCAAAACATACAGAGGCAGGGAGACATCTTGTTACAACCACAAAATACTCTATATATCCTTTCTTTTGTTTCCACCTGCTTGAATATATATATATATATGTATATATATATGTAAAAAAAATCCTCAACCTAACCACATTTTTCTCACTCTTTTATCCTAGCCTTTAGGGCAAAGCAGAACTCTGCATTTCTTTGGCATGGTGAGGCACATGCAAAGACAAAGGGAATGGAGATCCCACATTGAATCAGTGAAGGCATGAGGGGCTAAGACCCAAGGTTAGCCAGAGCCGAGGCACCACGGTTTGAGGCGATGCAACCCACAACGCACATATGACACCAAGTCCGTAATGCTGCTGTGCAAAGTCAAGGGACCACATTGACGATCAAGCTGAATGAAAAAATCTGCAAATAAAAATGCAATGCCATTATTAATTGTCATGTCAGAATGTGGAATAAAAAGTAGGCATCTTCAGCAAGACTAACCAGTATCATTGCCATGAAACACAAGGTTGTCTGCTTGGTCCCAGAGTTCATGGCAGTTTTGAAGATAGTTGAAGTATGAATTTTGTCTTTGCATGGCTTCGATGATGTGAACCGGGACAGCCATTGTTGGTGGAGGAGGTTGATTGTGACTATGAGGAGGAGTCTGATTCATGGATGATGCTCCATTTCCATTTCCTCGAAGTTCCCCACTTCCATAACCAGAGCTCTGTGAGCCAACTGACCCAACAGAGCCAGCAGGTGAAGGTGTTGGTGAGAGTGGGCTTGGAGTGCCAGTTGACTTCCCTGTCCAATTCAGGCCATTCACGTGAGTGTGACTGTGAGCATGACCATTTACCAACACCATTCCACCATTTCCAGCACCACTGGTACCACTGCTGCATCCATTTGCACCATTGGTTCCATTGCAAGCCACTGAAGCTGATTCGGCTCTTGCTGCTGCTGTCTGTAATGACAAGTTAGAGTACATCTAAGATCATTAACTGGGTATCACCAGGATTTAAAAGAAAAACCAGAAAAAAATAAAGGACAGATAAACATACCTTTTGAAAGAATTCAGCAAAGAAGCGATGCAAATCCCTCATTTCATATCTCTTCATTTGGTACAACTTCAAGTGAAGAAGGGCCTGACACCTCAGACTTGAAAGAAGAAAACCACAGAATTAGGTGGATCCTATGTTGGCATATCAATGAAAAAATGCTGCCTATACTCAAAATGGCTTACCTGAGGACATTCAGTTTGTTGTCTTGAGAGTTATGTTGTGAGCTGCTAGGATGATTACGGAACTTTGAAGAGATGTATCTGTATGGGGAAAGGACCATTCATATATCCTGTTCCAACCTTACATCACAGATTCATCATCATATTGTATTATATAAGGCAGACCTGATAAGATTTAATGTATCCTTGTACATGATGAAAGCAGATTTGTGTGTAACTCGATCCTTCTCCATGGCATTCCCAGTTAAGAGGAAGTACATGACAGCTTCTAGATATGTCATGGCTTGAGTTGTACGGTCCTTCTCATCGTCTGCCAGGTGCTTCAGCTTCTTAGCTTCCCCCAGATAATACTGCTGGTCCCTGTCATTCACAATTAAGCCACCACTTCAGCACCATATCATTGAAATTATAGCTTAATTACAAGAAATGGAGGAGACAAGAAAGATAATAAACCTGTGCTCTTCCTCTTCCTCCAGCTGCCGCCGTCTTGATGAGTGAAGCATCTCAAAATAGCTGTAGTAGACTGGTTGTTTGGGTACATTTCCTTCCCAGTAGTTGTAAGTTATATGTGGGTTTGGAGTTGGTGGGTCAAAGCGTTCAGAAAATGAGGAACGCTCAGGTGCTTCTAACCCAAAAGGTGAAGTTCCATAACCCTGCAATATCATTCCATGATGCATTACTCCTGTCCTGAAATCATATACCGGAGTCTTAAAAGAAGTCTGTGCTGAACACACCGAGGAAGGTCCAGGTATTTGAGCAGATGCCAACTGCAGCTGGTCAGAGGGATTCACAGCTGGTCGTTTCTGAGGCTGTTCATCAATGGAGTCAAAATTCCTTTCCCTTTCTATGCTTCTTTTCACTGATGAAGTGGTCTCATTGGCATCATTTGCTCCTTCCTCCTTCTTCTTACTTCGTTTCTTATCTTTCCTGGACTTCTGATCTCTGCTACCAGCACTGCAGGCTGAGCTAAGGCTACTTGTGCTCCCATGGCGACTTAGGGCAACCAACATGGATGGATCCTCTGATTGCCGTTCTCTGTAACAATATAATGAAAAAAACTTGCTGATACAGACACCTGTAATTCTGAATTAAATAAACTCAATCCCTCTCGTCATTAAACCCCATGGGACAAGAATTGCTCCCTCAAGGACAAATGAAAAATATGAACTTAACAATGCATACTGGGAACAATAAATACAATAAATTCAGTCATAAAAATCCTTATGGATTTTTTTTAAGAAGGGCATTGAGAATAACAGGACACTTGGCAATTACTTACAGGGTGGTAGATAACAGTGAATTCGGCAAGTATGCCTATTTTTTAAATTAGGACATGAAAATCAAGCTTTCCATGGAAATTCATCACAAATGCAAGTCATACCAAAGATTCAGAGCTGCTTAAAAAATGAACAAGATATTACATTCCATATTTTCCTTCATTAGAACAAAATTCCCTGGCAGAGAGTGCTATTTTTTTGCATATCAATACTTTCATCAAATGAACCATTTTTCTCCTAGTGTAATTCCCCAAAGAGCAGCTTTCAGGCCTTTGCTGATGGCTAGAAAGTGTTCTCTGGCTTGTTGTCATGGATACAATCAAGAGTTGAGGTAATGGAGATACAGGCATCATTCATGAACAGCCTGCCAGTTTTGAACCATCCATGTCAATTCTTTTAAAACTATGTACGTATACCAGTCAGTAGGTACCAGCATGGTGCTATGACCTGATTTTGAAGGAAGAGTAATTTTTTAAATAGTGTTATTGCACACCTGCTTATTGATTGTACATGTACTCATTGAATCAATGAGTTAACGCTAAAGCTACTGTGGGGTTATATTTCACACAAAGACAATTCTCTTCTAAATATTCATGCTGTAGTCTTGTTGAGGCAAGAATGCTATTACTTCTGTCTGCTCTTAAAATTGGTAGTTTTTTTTGGATAAATATAAATCATAATGAACCTTGGAGAACTGAAGAGTCACTCAGGCTCTCTGGCATTACATGGTCCCTCTCTCTTTGAAATAGAGCCTGAAAAAAATATATTTGGATGCTAGCTTGGATACATTCATGCCCTCATTACCCTGTCTTCAATGAGGAGGGATGCTGACCACTATCCAATTAAGGCTCCTCTTTCACATGCAAACCCACATTAACTTTCATGGTCAACATTGAAGGATCAGCAGCACACTGCACAAGGTCATAAGACAGTTCCCAGCTGTATCCAGTTTGATGGTCAGGAGAAGGACCAGTATTAGGATTGCAAAGAAAGAGCTGGTGAACAATTATCTAGAACCATAAAAAAAAAACCTGCACAGACATGCAACTCCCAAGAAGTAGGTTCAAGACAAAAGGATGGCAGGGGTTTGACAGCTTTTGTCAGGTCATAAGAAATGGCATTTCATTAAGGGCTCATGCTGCCTGGTACTTTCTGGGCCTGGATGAACTAAATAAAAAGAAATTTACTACTCAAATAGAAAGTTACCACTCATAGAAATTACAACTTGTATAGAAATACATTAATCTAATCAATTAATCAAAAGTGACTAGTACATACCAACACTAAAAACTCTCACAAAAAAGTCCCAATTGCCAGGTGGAAAATTAGGAGAAATTCCCCATTTGAGAGGTTAATAAGCCGTACTAAATACTTCATTAAATCTCTTTCCCTGTACTTCAGTAAAAACTAGCATGGGGTCATTTGGCTGCCATGGTCTTGTCACATTTCAAGTTCTTCCCTTTGTTTGGTCCTCTAAAGGAAACAAAATTCAGGAATGTCATGCTGTCAAGAAAGATTTCCTAAAGTGGCTTTGCACCTGTTTGGAAGGTTTCTACACTGCAGGTGCATACCTGCAGTGTAGAAACCTTCCACATCAATGGGATTGGTGTTTGCATGCATATTGGGGGTTGGATGAGAAATAAGGTATGTTTCAAACACAAGGCACAAATGCACATGCCCTTGAAGTATCAAGTCCAGGTCAAATTTGAACCACCCTCAAACTATTTAGTGACTGAAATTGAATTATGTAGGATTTTTTTATAAGAAAAAAAAGTTAAACCTAATTCCCCTTAATTCATGTAGGACAGAGAACGACAAATGGAATTCATAAAGATTGCTGCAGAATAACCAGCGATAAAAATTTCCTTTCTGCTCTGCTTCCTAATAGCAAAATGTAAAAAGCCCACCAAAATGCCCATAGGATGCTCTAAGTGACTGAGTGAGCTAACTCACATTTTGCTGTCTCCAGTTTTGTCAACTTTGATTTCAGGTACTGGAAAGTCCACCTTCACTTCTGCCATCTCACTTGACCTATTACTCAACTTTGAGTAACGATCACGTTTCTTCTTTTTCACAGATTCAGGCACCTGTTCCTTCACAGATTTGCTGCTCACACTATCACTCTTTGTACTTAATGACTCCACAGATGGTACCTTCAGCCTACTAGTTCTTGCAAATTCAACTTTAGCTTCAGTCCTGGAGGCACTAGGAGTCAATTCAGACGCATTCTTAGAAGACTTCTTGGAGGACTTGTGCTTCTTTTTGGAAGCATTGTCCTCCTCCACTGGCTTTGGCCTTGTGTCAGACAAATCAGAGTTAGTCCGAACATTGGAGGAGGATTTCTCCTTCCCCTTTGGAAATTTCTGGAGAAGAGACAGGTCTATTTTGCACCACAAAGACTGACTCTGAGGGGGCACTGGAGATACAGAAGGAGTCCTTGGGGCAGGAAGGTGTTCCTCAAATGCCTTCTTGGCACTTGGTAGAGGCACAGCAGCAACAGGGTTTGATCCTATTTCCCTGTAGGCCTCATCATTAGCCTTCAACTTCTTGTATTGCATGACCTTTCCATGTTTTGCAGACTCTCTCCTCTTCTTCCCTCTCATCTGCGAATAGGAGATGGTTATCTTCTCTTCATCACTTGATGATTCTTTTTTTGCATTTGCAGCTTTCTGAGATGGTAGGTGAAGCTGAGGACTAAGGACAGGAGGGCCTGGGATCTCCTCAGCTGACTGACGATCCTTGCTCCCACTCCTATCTCGAGGCTTGAAGAAAAGTCTCCTCAGAGCATTCATCTTAGTTCCTTGGGTTACTGTGTCTGAGCTCAGCTTTGGTGGACTCTCCTCCTCATCATCCACATCTTTGGTCTTTTTTTGAGGAGCATCACTGTCTTCATCAGATGTAGATTGGATGGAGGCAGGTGGTTTTTTCTCTCCCGCCTTGATGGCATGCTTAGGGATGAGATCTGGCCTGAGTCGAGGAGATTTACGAGGTGAGATCGGGGATCTGGCATTGTTTGCCTTGCGATGAACTTGTGGCTTCTTTGGTGTGTTCATGATATCCACATGACTTTCGGAATCACTGGAGGTATCCTCTTTCACTCGGGGAGAAACCACTTTTGGTTTCTTCTTGGCTCTTATCTTCTCCACCTCCACGCAAACAGCTTCGCTTGAATCATCTGCATCTTTGTCATTCACCAAAGCACGAGACTTGGGAGTTGATTTGGTCCTCTTCTTTCGCCGCTGCCGTTTCACTGTGTTTCTTGTGCAACCTGATTCATCTTCACTGTCACTTAAGCCACCAGCACTAGTCTGCCTGTTTGACTTCCGTCTTGCAGGACCAACTGGTGAGAGCTTTGGAGGGGGGGGCATATCTTTCAAGGAAGTTTCTAGTTTTCCTCGGAGTTCAGGTTCATCTTCACTCATGGAAGATATCTCCATGTCATTGGGTTCTCTGTTGCTTCCCAGAAGAGTTTGCAGATTAGCAGCAGCACTGCCATGGCCAGGACTGAGAATTTCTTTTATTGAGATCTCATCCAAAGGAAACCCAGGCTTCCCCGCATCATGAGTTGATCCAGGAGTCCCAGAGAAGGGTGAGGACTATAATGGGTGAGGAAAGGAGCAAAAGGAAAATAAAAATGATTCATGAGTGAGCTACATACAGGTGTCTCTAGTATGAATATGATCAACATAATAGAGGCCCACCTGACTAGGACACATTCCTTGAGAACCCTGGCTCCCAAACAGACCAGGTTCAGGAGTTGGTTTGAGGAAAGACTTTAAGCTCCAACTCTGAGTATTCCCCTGAAATTGTACCAACAAAAAAAAGTAATATTGCATACCACAAAGGGGTTACTAGATCAGACATCATATACTCAATGATACTTCAAGGTTTGATAGCCACCTCTGTCTACCAGGTATCCAAGAAAAAAAAAAAAACTTTTGGCCTAAATATTTCCACTCACATTGGAGCTACTTTTTTGTAACTTTATGTATACATGAGTATGATTCCAATCAATTCTTAAAAATGTAATTTGAATTTGTTGGACCAAAGGACTACCATCAGCAATTTTTTAAAAGAATGGACAAGAGCTCCTGGTAGTGGATAAAACACTTGAGTAGTTTGTCCTTCCTGGTCATCAAGACCACTTTGAACTCCTCTCCCACCTAAAATTCATTTTTGGAGTTGGTCATCTCTTGATGATTTTCATGAGCTTATTCCTAATGATTAGCAGATGAATCAATGAATATCAATCTAGAAGGTCTCACAAAGTTCATATTTCCTTTGGTTTTTTAAATGAATTGTGCATTTTAGATGCTGACTGCCACTGAATGTATGACTTGTCACTGAATATCATTTCATTTGAATTAATGGATTTTGGCTGCCATTAATCACTTTCAACTGAGATGAAAACAGCTACATATCCCAGCAAATTTGGTGAGACATGACTCAAGCATAAATAAGTGAAATAGTTCACTTTAATTCTTGCTTTTCTAGTTGAACAATTTGAACAATAAATATTCATTTGCATATTTGCATAGATGTCTAACACTTGCTATTCAAATCAAGAATTAGAACAAAATATCATGGTCACCCCTCACCATTTCATGTTCAATTTCAACACCAAAAATCACATGATTAATAACCTATTCCTGTGCACAGCACACACCTGACAGCCCCCACATACCCACTGAACCAGAGGTATTACTAAAGTCAATACCTTGGGGGAAGGCTGAGGCTCATCATTTTCACTTCTGTCATCAGCTTTATCTTTCTTCTCTTCTTCATCTCCTTTAGGTTCAGCTTTCATCTCCTTCTCCATTTCCTCCTCTGAACTGGATTCAGATTCAGATTCTGTTGACTCAGAACTTGGATCACTCTGGCCATCAGCATTTCGCTTCTTTATGGCTCCAGAGTCAGACTTTTGGGATGCATCCATCTTGCTATCTCTTGAGGTAGCTCTCCCTTGTGCTGGGCTCCCTGAGCCAGGATCATCTCTGCATTGAAATAAAAGTTTTATCATTCTCATTTTCTGTCCAATAAATCACACACATCCAGAAAATCTGTATTTAACATATTGGCTACCAAACTGAATTTTTAACATGGAAAATGTTAACCGGCAATGCACTTGGCAGCCAATGTGTTAAAACACATTTCAATATTCAGCTGACCTCTGGACTTGATGATCCAATGGGGAATCAAGAACGCAATTTTCCTTCAAACCCTGTAAACAAAAACTCACATTATATACAAAGGACTGATGTTCATATTGGAGAACTTCCAACAATGAATGCAATATTTTTGGTAAAAATCCTGAAACAAGATTCACAATATTGAAAACAAGCACTAGATATAATCAAAATCTCACCTGCTGATCCTCATCACTGTCCTCCGACAAAGCAAGGTCATGGTTGATGCCATGTCTGGAAGAGAGTAAAGATTTAGAACTCTATGCATGAACAACAAAAAGCTAATAATAATATATAGCAAGGTCATGCTTTTATGCACTTTCTTGTGCAAAAATATCCACACCATCAAAGGTCACTCAGCATCCATGGCAAGTGGCCCACTATATCCAGTAGGGATGCACTGAAACAGATCCAAAGTATCGGTATCGGCTAATATTCAGTGGATCGGCCAGAATTGGTATCGGTCGATATTCAGTGGATCGGCCAGAATTGGCATCAGCCGATACCTATATGGCCGATCCAATCCAATTCTCCCTTGCCGCACGCCATACTTGATGTGCAGCACGTAAATTTTGGGAACGTCTCAAGAAAAAAACCCCACTCGTAATGGCATACGGTTCTTTAAGTCCATCATAGTTCTTGTTTACCTCCAACTGATGGACAATGAATTTGGGCATGGTTAAAGCAGAATGTGAGAGATTTGAGAACGGCATTGTACAAATGGAATGGGCCAGAGTCATTCTCCTATGCATTCATTCCTTCACTTTCCCCTATTCCGTCCCGTCTCCTGCCTTCCCGCACTGACTGTTGGCGCAGGTGCATTTTGTGCTCATGTCCATCCCACCTCTGGATCTTCCCTCGAGCACCGATCCCGGTTGTAGTTACATCAACTCCTCAAGCCCTTAAGGACATGAGATGTAGTACCTACTCCTACTCCTCTTCACACCAATTGTCATAGTACATTGTTCATAGTACCTATGTCTGACATATTCTTGGCTGGCCCAGTGAATAGAGGGGGAAGTTTTGGCCTATACTGAAGAAGTTAATTATTGGCTGACATAAATGTCTCCAGAGCTAAATAAATGACAGGAATTTTGAAGGTTGTCTGAGGATTTTTTATTTTTTTCCTTCCATGCCAAAGGTAGCATAAGGCCTACAAAGGTCTGGTCCTGTATTGTGGTTTCACTTCTGACAGCCACTGGGAGTTGTCTGTATTGGTATTGGTATCGGCTAATCCTGGATCAGTGCATCCCCAATATCCAGTCATATTTCCATTTCACATCTCAGCTGCATACAGAAGTTGCATAATCATCTGAAGTGCATTTATATATGATTGGGAAAGAACTACAGATATGTTCAAGATGTTCTGAACACAATCAATTTACTTGTATACAAAGTTTTGCTTGATCATTTCAAATAAACCATCTCCATCTGAGATATCAATTTTCTAGAACCAGAACAAGTAAGAACCTATGGTGGTAGTCAAAAAGATCATTGAGACAAAGAATACAGCTTTGTGTTTACAAAGAACAAAACTTTGGCTGCTACTCTTTTGCTTTTTTTAAAACTAATACTGAAAGAAAAAGGGGATGGGCAAGGACAGCAATATGTAAATATCATATATATGACTGAAAAAAATGATCCTTGTGAAGATATCTCAAACATCACATATACCTGGATTGCATGTGTTTCATATGCAGGAAGAATATGCTCTTGCATATATATATCAAGCTGAATTATGTGGTTCTTATGTAGGTCGTTCATATATATTGTATGCATGTGTGTCATGTACATTTCCTGCACAAAATATTAAACATATATGATGCTACATACAAGAAGCAATATGACTTAAGTTTATTATTCATCCAGCTCTGAGAAAATCCCACCTTGTGAATTAACTCATGGGTATGTCCATGCATGAAAGTTTCAATGATCATCATCCATCAGTGATATGAGCAAAAAAGGGAATGAGAAGAAAAGAAAGGGGACAAAAAACAATACATCTCATCAAGCATGAAAGCTCATAAAAAATGTTACATATTAACAGTACATGTGAAAGAAGACAGCAAGTAGGCAAAAATCCTGTAATGAATCTATTTTCCTATTTATGCAATATTTGAACAGGTGGAGGCTATGTTAAAAGGGTATATGATATATTGCATTAACCCTTTCAGCCCATTTTATTTGTAACACTATGGAGATCGTTGAACTATGTCCACCAGTGGACCACAAAGGGTTAATAATTCACCAACAAAGTCAACACTCACTGTGGGAAATACCAAAGGCAAACCTGCAAGGCTACAAATAGCATCACCTCAACCTAATTTTAAAAAGAAAATAGACTTTTGATTCTATTTATTGTCAAAGATTGACAGGAGCAAGATCAGCTCATGTAATACCATTACCATGTCTGCAACTCCATGATCAAGCTTTCCACTACCTCTCTGACAAGAAAATGAAGATATGCATTCATTTTTCTCATTTCCCAAATACCATATCTAAAGCAAACTTAAAATGGGAAAATTCACGTTCACAGGGTTTGACTTGCATTATTGCCATTTCAAGGATATTTAGTCATTTTTCTTCCAGAAATATTTTAATATTAATTAGGCTTGATTTTAATTTCAAATCCAAGATATTCTTTCCAAAGCATACCAAAGGGCAATAGAAGTAAATCATTACAATGTTAACATGCAATAATGGCCTTCATTCAACATTGTAGGTAAATAGTTTCTACACAGCTGCCATTGAGCTCATCTTGACCCATATTTCAAGATAATTTCAGGCAACCTTACTGTTTCATTTTTCAACTTGTAATTGGTTTATACAATCGCTGTGCTCTTTTGAAAGTTGACTAATACATGAAATGAACACATGTATGCAAAGTTATACCAAAAAACTCATTTTGGAAATGCAGCAGCTTATTTTTAGAGACAGTGATGAACCAAGACAGCTAGTGACAGTGCAAGTACAGCCAGCTGGAGAGGGAACCCAATATTCCCTTGTGACAGGAGTGTGTATCCTGCAGTGTCAGAGTTTCAACTATGGTCATGCACCTTATGCACAAAATGACAACAGCACTTTAAGCTGTTTTCATTTTGTGCATGGTGCATGAAGGTACCAAGTGTGAAATGGATGAATGAAAAACAAGTGTGAAATAAGCCAGCATCATGGTTGCCTGATTGACCCTTCATATGAACCATACAAAAATGAACCATACAAAAATGAACTAAACAAAAGATACTACTCACAGGGGAAGACTGCACTTGAGAGAATTCCCATCTTTCATGAGATCATTGGCAGATACAAGATCTATGCTTGGTTTCCCTGTATACAAGATAATCAATCATACACTCATTAATAAGCCTTCTCTGTCTCATGCACATCATGTGAATCTCAAAATTTAAAAACATGTGCAAATGCAAGACTGGATATTTTTGCTTACCTGCAGGTCCCAATTGTTGTTCTGGTGAACACTGTAAGAAATGAATACAAAACACATGGCATGATCCACTTTGAACACCACATTCAGTTATACAAAGCGAAATAAAGATGTATTATTGATACGTAGACAGAAAATAAAAACATGAAAATGGAGACAAGTAGAAAACTGGAAACATACCATGGGGCGCAGAGGAGTCACAGGAGGAGGAAGATTCTGGAAGAAAGGAAATCTATGAGAATCGTCCTTTCGAGGAGTAGCCGCAATGGCTGTCACCGGGGTGGGCACTTGCATCTCCTGTTTCAGGGAAATAAAAAAAAAAAAAAAGAGAGAGAGACTAACTTGAGGCCTAAATAATTGTATTTCATATTAAAAACAAAAACAAGCAACAACCTTTAGTATATCTTGAATGTCACGTGCATCCGCTCCATGATGACCTCCACCAAACTGAAAACATAAAGAACATGAGATTCTGCCCAGAAGAAAGTGAACATGTTTCTTGAATCCCACTTACAGGAGAGATATGCAGAGGAGGGGGACGCATGGAATGTTGGTGCTTGGATTTGCCAGGAGGAGGATGCATGTTCCATCCTTGAATGGATGAATGTGTGTGATGCTTAGGATTTGTATCTTTGTGAACGAGGCCATTATGGACATTGTGATTCCTAATGGGATTAAAAGAGTGAGTATGTGAGGAAGAGGGAGGTATTGGGGCATGTGGTCTCTTCCATGCAGGCTGGGAAGAACCAGAGGAGTTGAAATATCGGATATTTCCATGCTTTGCACGGCTATGACTTGAAGAGGAGGATATGTTATGATTAATGGAGGAAGAACTTGAGGTCCCAGCATGTTTGGTTATGGGAGGGGGAGGTGGATGAGAGGAAGGTGCATCTGGATCATGAATGTGAGCATTGGTCGCTGGCATTGGGGTCTGTGGCATGTGATCCACACCGACCAGGCGGTGATAATTAATATCCTCCTTGACAGTATCATAGTCTCCAAGAGAACTTCGTATCTGCTGAGCCAATTCATCTGGTGTTGATTGCTTCACCTATGGGAAATTAAAATGCCAATTTTTACAAGTATTTCTTGGGCATACCAATATAATGTTTCTCTTTGCAAGACTGCATTAAGGTGAATTCAAGTCCTCCTGAACAGGAAGATAAAACAAGAATGAATTACTTTGATAGGAGCTGCAAAGAGAGGTAGGCTCCTCTCCTCAGTGTCAGGTGGAGGCCTCATAGGACGCGAATGATGATTAAGGTGACTGCGATGAACCCTGTCATGCTCCTGCATGGTGGCGCAGCCAATGTGAGAATCACCTGCAATATAAAATAGAAATTTCAATCATAGATCAACTTTCATCAATGGCTCATCCTAATCCCAACATCCGTTTTAAAATGTTCTTTAAAGAACAAATGAAGTTCAAAAAGAGCCATAGGGTCTATTTTATAGAATAACGAAATGGAAGGTTCAAATCAGGCACCCACTCAGGAATGCAGACTTCTTGAAATGAAGCAAAGCTTCCCCTATAATGCTGCATCAGTTTTTGGATTATGTGCCCTTGGCACATTTGGAATACCTGAACTACATTGTACTCCAAATCACATTGCCATTTCACTGAATAAACCATGAGCACCTAGATGTAAAAATAAATTGGTAAATTGTTTAGTCCAATTCAAATATGCTGAAGTCTATGCCTAATTACATGATGGTTGGGTTAATTCTAGGTCAATTACATAAGCCTATCATGTGACAAGCACTTGTCCTAGCCTTAGACTCTGATTCCAATATTCACTAATCCTCATGAATCAGCCAATATCCAATACCTAATATAGGAACAATCCAAAATATATCCACTGTATCTTGTACCTGCATTTTGGGATAGAAAATATTGCAAAAAAGTCAAATAGCAAAACATTGGTTTCACGCTAGGGCAGGCTGAGTACAAGTAACAGAGAAAAAGTTGGCCTCAATCTGTATCTCATAGAAACAATCATTTGTTTTTCCCTATCCTAAGATAGGTTTAAACTTATGACCTGAAAAGAAGAAAATACATATAAATAAATAATATAAAGTTGTCTGCTGCTGATAATGAAACTCATGTGAAGAGAAGGCTAGTGGAAGGAATGCTTCCTCTTTTGCTTTTCAATCACCTAACTAAATAACATGGTGAGGAAATACTGGTGGGGGAGAGTTTTACAGGCAATGGACACAGGCTAATCAAACTTCATGATGAAGGACTCCATATGAACGTGGAAAAATGTTACACTGAGGTAAATTATCAAGATGTTAATAATTTCATCAGGGAGTTTCAACTCTTTCACTGCTGCTGTTGTATTTTTGGGACAGTGGTGTTAGCACCAAGAAATGGAAACTCCAGAAAATTCCTGAGGCACAAGTGCATTCTGGAGCATTACATTACAAGGATGGTATACCACTCTTGTAATGCCTAAGAGATGGGTATGGTCATAGACCTATAAGATGTATAATTCAGCACTTATATAAAAAGGTCCAATGAAGTGATGAGGGAAAAATGTTCAAATTGTGATGAGGGAAAAAGGGGAGGAAGAGAGGGAAGGGAAAAGTTGGGGAAAAGATATCAGGAGCCAAACAAGAAATGGATAGAAGGGTTGATGCCATCTGAAGAGCAGGTACCATGTCGAAAATTAAGATGATTTTCTAACGCATGGTGAGATTCCTGGAAAGGGTAAAAATGATACACTCTGATATTGCTGACAAAGTGATTTTGAAGACAGAAATAAGATGGAACTGGCTTTTAAGATTTGATAAGAATGCCCCGAAGGTGTTCCACAAAACGATCCCCCAAGCAAAGTCCAGTTTCACCTACATAAAATTTGGAAGGGCAGATGAGATAGATAACATCTTCGGTGCAGCATGTGAAATGTTGCAAGATTTTGTTGTGTCCCTTGGGACCTTTGATGGAGAGAGAGGAAGAAATGAAGGGACAGGTGAAATGACGAGGGCAACCACAAGGGGGTGTCCCAGCTGTGCACAGGGAGCAGAGTTTGGGGTGAGAAATTTGGTTCATGAGATTTCTGTCGCATCAGAAAGCAAGGAGAGAGGAAGTGGAGAAGATGGGGGCAGTGTCAGGTCCAGACATGAGAATAGGAACATTAGACTTGATTATGTTGGTTACACTGTGAATAAGAGGGTGAAAGGTTGTCACAAAAGGGTTACAGGGCAAATTTGAAGGTTGACTGGGTGGGATGAAAGTGGAAGATTGATTGGATTCCTTCCCATGAATCTCACTGTTCATTAGAAAATCATCTTAAATTTCGACATGGTACCTACTCTCCAGATGGCATCAATCCTTCTATCCATTTCTAGTTTGGCTCCTGATTATCCTTTCCTCAACCTTTCCCTCTCTTCCCCACCCCTTAATTTTTTTTGCTCTCCCTCTCTCCTTTTTCCTTCAGGTACTACAATAACATTCCCTTGAAGGCCTACTAGACCAAGGACCTTGGAATATTTTCCCCACATCACTTCAAGGGACCTTTTTATATAAGTGCTGAATTATACATCTTGTAATGCCAAACATACCTACAATACTGGTTTTGAAAATAACCACACCAACTGGCAGCAGCAAGTATCATAACCTTCCTTTCTGATGAACCTTCATAAATGCCCCAGCGAAAGAGTTAAATGGCAGAGTAGCCCCTCCATCACTGTTTTTCCTAGCATTCCAAGAGCAAAGTAACTATGACTCATAGAAATAAAATACAGAAACAATCGAAAGTATGGCATCATATGGGCCGGCACTAGGAACATGAAGTTTGAAAATGCGTATAGTAGTATCGATTTAATTCACCAAAGATGTTTACATATGCTTTATGGTATAGTCAACTATGGAATCAATTACTTTGCAAAAAAAAAAAAATCAGCATGAATTCTATTTATATGCAAATCAACTCATTTCCAGAATGTATTTTTTTTAAATAGCACACCAGACATTGGAATTTAAGAAAAAGGACTATTTGAACATTTATGAATATTTAGCTTTCCCTAACAAATATATATTTTTTGAGAAGCTTGTGATTCCAGAGCTGAATTCATTACCCATTCATGGGTTTTGAACAAAAAAAACTAAAAAATTCAACTTGTCTGATAAAGCTGTTTTCCAAAGCTTTGACCATACAGCAAATGCCAAAAGACTCCGAGATTGATTTCTTTGGAAATGTGGAATTGCCAAGAGACTCTCCTGATCTGAATGTGGCTGAAAACATTGAAGTAATCCTAAAAGATCAAATTGAGGCTCTCACGCATATGGAGGGCAAGCAGCATGGATTCTCCTGAGAAGCCATGCAAAGCAACATCAACAGAGTACTGAAGGACATGGAAGATGACACTAGACTCTTTAAGTGTCTCTTTTCATCTTATCCCACTCGCCTTAAAGCTGTCAGACACACAGCCAAGGTTCACACAAATTACTAAAAGGAAATGTTTAGATTCGAAAATGAATGCTCTTTCTCTTGAGTTTTTTTCCTAGCTCTTACAGTTTGGGCTGTGGGGGGGCTATCTATGTGCAACACCTGGTAGAGCATGAGTACTTCATGCATTCATTGATGTCGTGTCCATACTTACATGGTACCACTCGATTTCATGTCTAGTCCTGTGTCATATTGTGTATGCAGTGAATATGAAGAAATGAAGGTGAAGACAGCAAAATCTTAAGTCTAAATATAGAAGATAGGGTAAGTCTAGAAGCAGAGTTTGAAAAGTGAAACATTAGGTGAGATTCTAGGATACCCATTCCAGGCTGTGCATAAGGGGGGGGGGGGGGTGGCAGAAGATGGGGTCAAGGTCATCCTGGGAAGGAGAGGTTGCCAGGAAGGTCCTTTATGTCCAGGTCCTTTCTATTTCCTCCCTACTCTGTTAATTCTTCTCTCCATCCAATCCTATTTAGAGTCAGCAGGAGATAGGAGGTCCAGGCCCTCTGGCTCTGTCTGGGGCAATTTTCCATATATTAAATTAACTACTGGCTCATGGCTTTCCCAAGGAACTAGGGCAGGGGTTGGGAACCTTTTTGGCCATGCAACCCATATAAAGATTGAGCTAAGTGCTTGTGAGCCAATGATTTTCAAACAACAGAAATGGGCTTTCTTTGATACATGAGAAAAATTAGAAACAACCTTGATTCTTAGCCATGACTCATGAGGCAAACATTTTGGCTCATGAGTCCAGGGTAGGTTCCTGACCCCTAGACTAGGAGGATAAATGGTGGGCATACTCATCAAAAGCCCTATTTAGACTAATCAGGCTTCCCCAAAAGCACTTTGCTGTTATAGATGAAATATCAACATATGCTGGGAGGATGCAGGGGGAGAACCTAATTGCAGAGCAATCCCTAGCCTGGAATGTGTTACTATACTTTTGAACTTGAGGTGTTTGCATGAATTAACAGGCTTGTGTGGTAGATCTCTGAGATGGGTGAGATCAGTACCATACCAGGAAGGATTCTGCAAACAATTGACACCTCCCATTAGACTCACTCTACAGGATTGGGCTCTGTCCAGCCCATTTATATATATTTCTTCTTCTTACATCACACAACCCCACCCACCTATATGGATGGGGCAGCCATGGTTCCCCTCTCACCTTGTGGGTACCCCTGCCTAGCAAGCAACACAATGGGAAATGACAGAACACTATACCCAAAAGACCTACGCCTAACATTAGTATGTATCTAGTGATATAATCCTGAACCTGAATTGAGACCTGGCCTATCCTACGTCGCCTTTCAGGTGATATGAGTGGCCCCTTTGGAATTGCGATTTAGGCTCACACCATTGTCTCACATAGTGAAAACTCCTAGTGGGAGTAGGCCTTGGCGTTTTTGAACCTTCCAGAATCTCCGTTCTGATTGGCAGGCCAAGGTCTAACAGTTAGGCCTATCGTAAGGCCTAAGTCAGGTCAGTAAAAGCACTACACGAAGTGCTCACAAAACATATCCACCTATATGCAACAATTCGCTATCCTATGAAGAGGCCTAACTGGCTAAGTACCATAACTCACGCTGGCCTTGGTCTACGTCTAATGGTTAGGCCTACGATTTAGGATGTCTCTTAACGATAGTCCCATTAACAGTCACAAGCGCGATCACTTAAAAAATTAACATGCTTCTTAAAGAAGAAGAGGAGGAAGGAAACTCCAGGAAAGACAAGGGAGGAAAAAGAAAGGGCGAAATAAGTGGATCCTGGCATGAAGGCCTACGTCTAGGCTCATGGACGCCACCCTCGCAGCTCTTCTGGCAACTTCGTCCCAAATCTGGTCGACGGAGGCGCTCTCTATGAGGACGAAAGTGGAAGTTCGCTTATACTGCCTGTCTTGCCCTTCCCTTCGGTGCATTCAATGGCATATTGTCAATTCCCTTTCAAAGGTGTCGCTCCTGTAGCAATCCGTATCTCTTCCCTTTCCACTTTCGCCACTCCATCAGCCATTATCTATTCCTCATATGTGTACATCGCACACCAACAGTAGCCTCTTTCCATTTTATAAAAGCCTTGAAATGAAAAGCATGAATCCCACATCCTCATCGATAGCAGACACTGAAGGCCATCCTCATTGGACATGAATGTATCGTTAATACCATGAGGTATCACTGAGGTAAGTAATCTTAATGTACCCCGGCCCGAAGTTGGAAGGACGTAATGACTAGGCCATTCAAGCATTAAATATTGGGTAGACGTTAGAGTTGTATCGGTGCAAGGTGGATTAGGGGCGCCCCAAATTTCCCCCCCAAAAAAAAAATTGTCCCCCATCGATCTGACTCTCGGGTTCCTGCCACGTTCTCCAGGTTCATCATGTGAGAAGCAGACATTGCATGCATTGCATCGTATTGCATTGGTTTTGCCCTTCCACAGAATCGTGATGGCTTCCGGGCTTGCGATCTCTGTCTACTTTCGCCTTGCTCAGCGGTCTCACCTCTCTTTTTTCTTTTTTACTTCCAATGACACGGCACTTCCCCTCCCCCTTTTTTTTCTTGCGTTTTCCTCCATCGTAGTTAGCCTATCATGTTTCCACGAATCCCTGTCGAACATAGCCGAACGGTTGCATACCGACAGTTTCTGTGCTATGTTATCTCTACCAGAGTCCAAGTCCACATATACGCACGATATGATAGCGTGCTGACATCAGCCGATAATAATTTTCTCACAGTTGAGTAGGAGCACATGGAGACATGTAGGTCGTAGAGTTCCGTGCTTGTTGCTTGTCTACGCTCCATAAACATTCATGGGAGAACCAGGCGACAGTTACTCGATTTTATTTTTTGCTCGTTATCTGAAAGAAAGGGAGTAGGACTACGTTCAGAATTGAAAGTTGTGGAATTAATTAAAACTCCAGTCAAGCCTCACTACCGTTTCCTCGAACAGGCGGAAAAGACGGTGAATTAATATATATGGTAGTTTAATCTGAAGAACCGAAATAAATGGAATGCCAACTTTTACGTCATCTTGTGGATAAGGAAATTATTTCCCACGAATGTCTCAAATACCATCGAGAGAGCAGATGTTGAGTTAATCTTGACGGGAGCTTCTGCTGAGATTCTGTCGGTCGACTGTAGTATGGGTCGTCATATTAAAAGCGAATCTCCAGCGAACGGTAGAATCAAAATAGGAAAAATAAAATAAAAGAATTGCGCCAGAACCTCCATCTTTCACGGAGATGAATCAACGAAAGCAGAAGTTGATGAGCTCATGCCACTCTCGGACGATGACTATTACGATAATAATCAGCTGACGATGTTCAAGGAATCGCAGAAAATTTCATATGCTTCACGAGCGAAAGTCTCGGGATAAACGGTAAGTACATCAACTTAGCTATAAATACCTGATCCGGAGCAAAATGATGATCAACAGGCAGAATAAATGCAGGCTTAAACGCATCGAATCTCTGATTATCAAGGAATACCGCACAGACTCGCGCTGATAAAATGCTTTGAAAGATTCATTCTCAGCTGCCTCCGATGAAAACGATCCTCCAGCTGCAACACTGTCAATGCAAGAGGGCTCTCCTTCGCTCACCTTTTGCATGCCCTTTCACGGCTGATGCAGCAAAAAGAAACTGTCTCTCAGAAGTTCCTTTCAATGACGTCACTGCAAGGCAATCTACCTTGAAAATAAAAAACACTCGTGCTGATGATCTTTCTCGGGACTCCGCGAGTCAAGGTTTCCCATGCGAGAACTAGACAAAAAAAAAATCACTTCTGACCCCTTTCTTTTTTGTTCGTGTCTCTGCTATACAGTAGGGTTCTTTTTATGGCTTCTCCCATTTTTGCCCAAGCAGAGCGGAGTCAGATAGAAGTTGGACAAGTTCCCAGAATCCCTTCGTGTCTTTGGCCATGTGTTTCCCACTAGCTCCACATTTATTCCCTCCCCCCACACCTTAATAACAATCTCTCTTCTTCCCTTCCTCCGCCTGTCCCTAGAAAATCGAGTTGTGCCAAGAAGAACCCTCGGCAAATTGGTTGTAACAAATCAACACCATCCGGAGGAGACATTTCCCATATATCAAATATCACTCTCACTTCCCCAAACTCCGAATTTCTTTTGTCTTCTTCGAATGGAACCAGAGAGGGGACGAAGCCGGATGATATCTCTCTTCGTGTCTCGGTCTGATGCATTTCGAGAATGCAAGCAACCCGTACGTAAAATATGCCCATCCATCACGAGACAGTGGAGAGTACCCTTGTAATTAGTCTTCGTGCGATGGGAAAAAGTATTTTTTGGGATGGACCAAAATTTTCGCTCCTTGCGTTTCCGCGAAGGCACATTTGGTATTGCGAAAGATGTCTAGTTTCTCCCTCTCCATTGTGTGAAAGCAACGGAAGCGCGATCACAATGACTGGTCTTGCAATCGCATTATGTTTGCCGTACTGAAATCGTCTTACAGGTTCTTAAATAAGTTTTAGATAAACCATGAGAGCGGATGCTCTTCTATTTGAAGGGACACGAGGCCCCGAATTTCCGCTCCAATTCGCGGAGCCGGCCCTTCACACTTCCTCATTTCCCTCTCCCATTCCCTTATTTTACCTTCCTCTCTAATTTTTCTTTTCATTCTTCCGAGTTTTCTCTCGCCTCATTTAGGCCTTGATAAAAGCACGAAAGGGTTGGGCGGAAGAGAATGGTTACATTCGTGACCTTGCGGGACTCCCATCGATCCCTAGCCCCTCCCCTCTCTTCACTCGTTCGGCTCCGCAAAAGACAAGAGACAGATAATAAAGGGAGGGGGAAAAATGGACTACCTCGCAGACGGATCGAAGGGCGATCAATACAAATCACCTGCGATGCGAATCCATTATGCAAGATACGAGTTTTCTCTCGATTCTGGCTCGTCGTCGTCCGTGTTCTCCTTCATACAAGAGATCGAGACCGTATAAAATAATAATTTCTCTCCCTCTCAAGAGGGCGTGGAGAATCGACGTAGCCGTTCCCCTCCGTTTCGCCCCGTTGACAAACCCATATTCCCATGCTATTCATTCCTCCATGGAGATCGAGGGAGAAACATGAAAATAAAAGGAACGGGGATGTAGAATGGGAGGGAGGGGGGGAAATATCCTGGTTCATTACATTCATTCCAATCGGGATCCGGCAGCCCTAATTAAGGCAGGGGAGACGTTTAAAAAAATATCTAATAAGGTTCATGGGGTGTAGCCATGTGGAAACCACGTGGTCCCGTTACAAGAGTGACACATCTTGTCCCTAATTGACTCCAAAAATGACGACCCTGCGAGCCATCCTCCTCTCTGATTCCCTCCAACATTTTCATTTTTTTGAGGACTGAAAAATCCTCTCCGAGAAAAAGAAAACTAAACCCAGTTTTTAATCATTGCGAATGAAAGTCATCATCTTGATGCGAGAATAATCGGCTCATACGCAGAGATCGAAAGAGAATACAAGGAAAAGATTACTCGTTTAAAGTCGATATAGAGGAACAGAAGTCAGGGGATAAGCGTTTGAGGAAAATTTCAACTATTCATTCAGGGGTTCGTGAGAATGTATGGAGCTCTAACGGTCTGCGACATGGGAGGGAAGAGTAAAAGAGTGCAAGAGAGTGAGCATGGCCCCTCCGGGCTATGACATGACTCCCCGGCCTTCTCTCTCTCCTGTCTCGAAATCCACGAGAAACTATACAGCAGGTTCCGTCTATAGACAAGGAAGGAAACCCGTTCTGCTACAAACGGGGAATCCCACTTTCCCATAGAAGAAAAGGCGTTTTTTTTTTTGTTCCTTTCTTCTTTCCCTTTTCCTCGCTGTCATCACTAACGCAGATTAATTTCTTTTAAAACCGTCATTATTTCAAGGAAAGCGGTGTGGAGATGCCCGACAGACGACCATGACAAGGAGCCAGTCCTGTCCTCGAATCTTCGCTGACCTATTTTTGGATTCCTGATATAGATGTTCACGTGCTTGTGATTCTTTCGCATGATTCGGGATCTGTGGGAGTGGTCCCAATGGAAACCCCAGTCGGACAATCCCCTTCCCACATCGTGGAACATTTCCAGGTCAAATCTAGCACTCGTAACCATAAAATGGGATTGGCCAGCTTCCAGAGATGCTGATGAGCAGAAGACACAAAAATGCATCAAAGCACTGACCATGCAAAGCCCTTTTTCTTCCTAAGAAGCTTTACTTCTTTTTCCCTCTCAAGTTTTCCGATTCATCAGTTCAGATGAGAAGAGGCAGGTGCTCTCTCCCTGCTCCGATTTCCCCCTATTTTTCCTTTGTCATGTTTTGTTTGCGGTCGGACGAGCACTTCATTTTCTTTTTTTAAGATAGGGGAAAAGAGAGGAAGGATCCGGTCGAGTGAGATATAGAAGGCGGAAGAAGGGGTGGAAGAAAACGTACAGTGCGTGCCCTCAGGTCCTCGTCTCATGACGCAATACCAGCTCCACGCATAAGACGGGATTTAAAATGAAAAAAAAAACTCCGTCGAGGAAGCGATGAGGGCCCGATCAGATCGGGCTGTCCATCAAAGGATACCAGCCCTTCTGGCCCAAGGTCGCTCACTGGCACACATACGCATCGAAATGCAGTAGCACAGCTCACATGACGATACACTCTCCCACTCATCCACTCACTGATGGCCGATACGACACACCGTCGGATGCAGTCAACGATCTCGATCTCGAAGTTATCAACACGATATTTTAAGAGAGAGAAGAGCGAAACTAGAGGAAAGAAAGCACGAGGACGGCTTCATGGCTCCACTCACTCACTCGCTCCCGCGGCGGCTGAATGAAACGCGTGGCATGCACCCACACCTGATTTTCACGAACGCCAATTCTCGTCTTATCTCCCTCACCGTTTCTCGTCCCCCACGGCCAGGCTCATGTCCTTTCTTAATTCCTACTCATTTGTGGCTCTGGCTCATTAGTCGGATGAAGCCTCGATGGAGGAGAAAAGAGAGAAAGGGGGAAGATGATCGCGAAAATAAGTTCCCCGCCAAATCGATGCACAAGCTGAGTGACCTGGATTTTCTTCTCTCTCTCTCGCATGGGTTCGTGTTGGTTTATGAAGTTCACTCACTTCCCCACTGTCTCTTGGGAAATTGATACATGGCCTTTTATGAAAAATTGTAGACATTACCCAGCAAACAATTTGAAACACATAACGTTGAATCAACATTGAGTAAACGTTCGGAACGTTGATACAACGTTGGTCCGACGTAGCCTTGTTTGCTGGGTAGTCAAGTTATTCCAGCAATTCGTCAACCTCTCGAAATCATGACTGAGCTCATTGCGATCACACATTGCAAGATCACATAGCTGACCAATATACGATGACAATTAATTGGCTAAACTCGAAAATAGACCGCGTCCTTCAGTGTGCAAGGGCTACAATGCATGATTGAAATTCTCATTTATCGGCTAGAGGTGGAGAACAGTATACAAAAAAATCGTGGTCAAGGATCCCGGTGATGGAATTATTATTCAAAGAAGCTGAGCAAGAGAATGGCGACAATGATGACAATGGAGGAGGGAAGCCTGCAATTTTCCCTCTGATCATCCTCGTACCGCTTTGGAAAATTCGTGTCCTCTTCGAATCTCTGTAAGAACTTTTTTTTGTGTTTCCTCCTGCACTTCGTGCATTCGAATAATTACGGCAATCCTTCCCGAAAGAACCTACGAAGCAGAAGGGAGAGGAATCCAGTGGCAGAAAGATGCGATGGATGGATATGGAAGTCTCCTTGGCTTATTGTCTCAGACTGTTGGTCACCCTAGTGTGCATCTGTCTCACGGTTTACCCGGAAGGTTTCCCATACATCGACAAGCCCTTGGTTCATATTATTATCCGAGGACACTTCACCCTCCACTTGTGCACCGTCATTGCCCTCTCTCTCGCCGCCATCGACGCCTCCTACGGATGCTATAGATTCGGTCCCTCTCCGTCCCAATAACTCAGAAATGTCTTGTTATTAGTTTAATTTACTCTTCAAGTACTAAAAAAAATAAGGAATCGTACGTTGCAGCAAGCGATCCATCATGTCCGAATCGAAACAAGTACCACCGAATGACGGCTTTCTTTGCGCCTGGGATCGGATTGCCTTGCCTGGCAGCAGATTTCTACGCCTCCATTACGGGGGATGTCTCCGTTGCCCTCATTCACATCAGCTTGTGCATCCCCAGCCTCTTCGTCTTCTCCATTGGGATGAGAAAATGTGCATATAACATGGCTCGATGGAGCAATGCCGTTTCCCTCATCTCCATTGGTAGGATCTGAACTGTGCCTCCTCTCAACTCAAGTTTCACTGACAATTTTATTTGTTTACTTGGAAAAAAAGAAAAGCACCAATTCCACGTCTTCCGTTCCAGCCTTTCTTCTACAGATGTGAAATTTGCAAACCCGACCGCTGTGGTTAGGTGACGTCTCTCCTCGAGTCATATATCTTTGTTTGGTGAAGGATTGAGTTTATGCAGATTTGAAATTTGCAAACCTGGCCGCTGTGGTTAGGGACGCCCTTCTTTAAGTCGTATATTATTGTTCAGTGAAGGGTTGAGCCTATCGGATCGGCATTGACAGGCAGTTCACGGCCCAACTTCTAGTCACTTTGCATTTCAGGACTCGTGTGCCACTGCCATAGTCGGATTCTGGGCGTGATGGGGTCGGTGATGATCTTCTGCGCCTATGAATTTGTGGCTTTCACGCCGGGGATGAGATTTGGGCTCCAACCTTTCACCTGGCTTTTATTGGTCCTCAGCTTGGGGAGCGTGCTCCTCGTTCTCGCCCTCAATGATCTCACCTTCTCTGATCTCAGGACCACCATGTATTTTTAATTTCATTCCCCTTCCACTCCCCCCCCCCCCCCCCCCCCCCCCCCCCCCCCCCTAGAATCCGACTATGGCAGTGGCACACGAGTCCTGAAATGCAAAGTGACTAGAAGTTGGGCCGTGAACTGCCTGTCAATGCCGATTCGATTCCCCAATAAATATCCAGAAGAAGAAGCCTTTCTACATGTCCCAAAAAAGAGACTATTATTCTGGACACATACAAATATGACACGAGAAGCAGAAAATTGAAGGCACTTGGGGAAGCAATGGCACGTATGCTGCTGCTTCTTCTTCTGACATTTGATAAGCCAAAACATCACAAAACTCACTTTTCACATGAATTGGAAGCATTCTTCATCACTCTCATAGGAGCATGTTTGAGAAAATGACTCAATGGAGTATTCTAAGACTTGGCAGCCTCAAATTTGCACAAGGCCTGGCAAGATTAAAAAGTGAACTATTGTGCCATGCATTTTTGTGAGAAAGAATAGAAAACAGGTAAATATGACATGAACACAATCACAATTAAAGATTTCAAGAACTGAACAATAAGTCCATCAGGCAGCACCCATCACCATGAAAAACAGATGTATAATGAACTTTCCTTAAGTACTTGCAAGAAATAAAATACAGAGTGAATTCCTTTTTTTATCAGCCCTATATGATTGCCGTTGCTACTGAACTATGCTGCATAAGACTCAGCAACATGCAAATGTGAATTATAAATGAGAAGATGCCACCAGTATGTAAATACACAAGGTGTACAGTGAGGACAAAAGACAGACACAGCAAGAGACAGGGGGGTCAGGAGTGAGCTAGACAACAATAAATGTGCATGGTTCAGATCACATATGAAAAAAGGTTACAACAGACAGCATGTACAGAAGAGATTGTCTCCATCTGCCTCCAGTATCACATAGAGGACTATCACAAGCACACATGCATGTGAATGAATGCACATACATAGGCTTAGCAGTTAAAATGCACAAAAATTCATTTCTCTTCCTTACAGATGTATCACTATGGGAAAATGGCAGAGTCAGTATTCCATGGGAAGCAAGGATTAACAACGTCAACTGTATTGGAGCCAGATTTGAAAAAGATAGCTATCTGACTCAAATTCAGCTGAATTTTCACATGCAATTAAAAAAAGTGGACAAAGGAAAATCCACACACAGTTGATAAGTTAGGCCCAAGAGAAGCATGCCTATGATTCTCCAAATAAATAAGTCCCTATACATGTAATCTTTGAGAGAGTAGATGCAAAAAAAAAAACAGAAGCATTAGACAAAAATTATGCTTATGAGAAATATGATCCATGATTTTCTGAATAAATAATGCACCCAAGCCTCATAGCATAGGTGCAGAAGGACCAAACTTGCATATGCACATGGAGAAATATTCAAATGATAACTTGTAAGTCACTGGCACACGGTTCCAGATGAAGAAAATTGACTGATGGGACTGGAATGTGATGTGATCATAGAATCGCCTGTGATGTCATCCCACAAGATATGGACAACTAAGAAACACTGTATCATGAGCAAGGTTCCACAAAATTAGCTGGGAAGAGGCCAACTTTCCCTGTGCGCTGGAGGGTGCCCTTGTACCACCCATCTTCTTGCTTCTTATGAACATACACTGTATCACCAAGCTTCAAGTCCAGCTCATACTTGCTGCTAGCTGGATATGGAACCACACATCGGAACCTAGTTGGAATCAGAAAAAAAATCGTGATCATCCATTATATTCCATGGGCTCAAGCAGGCTTAAGACCATTTCTGTACCTCTCCCGAACAAGAGGTGTAGGCTGTTTGGGTTTCTTCTCATTTCCATCTTCGCTTCCAGATCCTGTGGTCTGGTCTTGATGTTTTGGAGTCTGAATTTTCTCATTCCTTGTCCCATCTGGGTCAGTCCTTAAACACAAGAAGAGGACATTCACATTTCTTAGAGAAAAAATTTGTTTTTGAACAACCTCATTGAAGGTCAGTTTAAAGGTAGAACTCCACAGGTTCAAACAAGTAGAATCATGGATGCACAAAACCTTATTCGAGAAGAATTTGAGAAGAAGGAGGAAATGAAGGCTGAGGGTCAAATATATATACTTTTTCCATTTCACGCAAATGTATACCTTGAGGGTTAGGTAAATTTCAATAAAACTGACAAGAACAGATGTTAAAAAAGTATCTACAAGAGACAACCTATCCAAACAATGAATTTAAATGGGAGATGTGATCTTGACAAACAGCAAGGACAGCATTTGACAGCCCTCCACTACCAGCAGGAGCTTTTGTTCATTCTCATTGTCTAACTTCTTTCAATAATTGATACTAGTATTGATTCAGTCAAAAAAAATTCAGATAAAATGTTGAGAATCAGTTGGAAACATGTTCTAATATGCATAGTGAAAGTTTCGTGAAAATAGCTTCAGTGTGTACAGAGATGTTTAAGTTTAAATTCTTTGGTCTTTTTTTTTGCCATACCCTGTAGAAACCAGAAGGGCTGACAGAAAGCATACGATTCCTGTTCCTTTTATTTTCCTTCAAGGGTACTTGAAATTAGGGGATACACAGTCAGAATCTGGTGGTGGAAGGGGTAAAAAAAAAACCCAGGCCCTATAACCAATGAAGCCCAGTAAGACCACATGGTGGTTTGAAAAAGAGGTCTCATCTTAGTGTTTCTCAGTGAGATTCAAATGCTTGGCAGAATACCAGGCAATAGTGGCAAAATGCCTAACACCTATCTCAAAAATATTAATACAAATTGCATAATCCTTCTTATCCTACCAACAATGCAATGGCGGGAGGGAGTATGCAGTATTATGCAATGCATAAAATTATTTTGATACATATCTACAAGATATTTTACTGCTAATGTGCAGCTATTTACAGCTGGTACAAAATTAAATGGGAAACAATGCAAGTTATAGTTGGAGCCACTCCATTAGTTGAGATATGGAGTTGGAGAGTTGGCAATGAACACAAGGCAGGATTGGCTAGGAAAACTTGGACAAAGAGAAGGAAGAAGTTTCACTCTAGGTTCTGTATTTTAAGAAGCTGAAACTCAAGGCTGCAAATAATAGACAGCATATCCCTGGGGAAATTGTACTACCTTGGGTTGACCATTTCCACAGGCAAGACAGAAATTCAGTAATTCCCATGTTAAAAGGAGAAACCCGTCACTCTCCAAGTCTCCACAGCTATAATTTCTGAATTGATGAAAAGAATCTGATGGTGATGACCAGCAATGAATGGGCCACCCCATCAATCTGCAGTGGTTAACATCAGTTGCTAGAACCATAACTGCTACTAAAAGAAGATACAAAACCTCTACATAGATACAAAAGTGTGCAGATAATGTGGCTGATACACAGACATGTATGGTTGACACTACTTATAATTAGAGATCGACTGATAAATGCTGCCAAAATAAATAGGTTGATTTGGGCATATTGCCGAGTACTTACATTGGCTCTTTCAAACCATCCGATTTTTTTCAATATTAGAAGTAGAGATCTGTTCAATCTAAACAATGAAAGAAAATATGAATAGGAAAGGCATTGTCTAATATGGTGATTCCCAATTGTCTACTTCTGTGTGTTACTTGCATCAAGGGTGCATATGTAGCATACCATCACTTCTCCCACAAATGCATAAGACTCATACTTTATTGTGCAAGTTTAAAAAAATAAGTCTGTTTGGAAATCTCCTGCATACCACCAGTGGTATGTGTATCAGTTTGCAAACCATTGGTCTAGTGTGTCAATGGCTTTGAGCACTTTTTGAGGGATTCTGATCAGATTCATTGTTCTCACAATCAGAGTACTGATCACTAACAACAGCAAACTGTTTTCCAGCAATGTTACTAATGACACTCATACCACGTGACAAGTCTGAAAACAAACCATTCTCAAACATACGAGGGGTTTTCGAAAAGTTTCTGCTAACATCAGATAAAAACTAATCCATTGTTTCATTTGCTACCAAAATCAGATACAGAAACATTACACCAATCCCCAGCCCTCAAATCCATCACTGTTTGAATCTATGCACTTCCACCTGCACTGCCACCTGGAGGGCAACAATTGTACACCCATTCAGTAGAAGCCTGTATTTTGCTACAGCTGACATTATCACCAATTTTCAGTAGACTGTTGTCAGCCACCCATCATATAGCCCACTCTGACTAACATCAGTTTGGCCAGTTGAAGCACCAATTTTGTGGAATACGCTTCATCAGTGGTGAAAATCTTCAAAATTCTGTTAGACCATGGCTACATAAACAAAGTACAGGCTTCTACAGAAGGGGTATAGAATCAATGCCCTCCAGATGGTAGAAGAGCAGAAATTCGAACAGTGATTATTTGTGGGCTACAGGGTGTGTAATGTTTTTTGCATAAAAAATTTGGTAGCAATGAAAACAATGGTTTAGTTTTTATTTGATGCTTGCAGAACCTTTTTGAACATCCCTGGAATCTTCAATTCCTTCACACTGGAGACACCATGCTTGCCATTTCCTAACATGACAAAAACATAAAAGATAAGATAATATTAGGAGGAATTATAACCACATCATGAAGCTTAGGCAGTACTAAAATGAAAAGTTTTCCACCAACAGATTTTGTCTGCAATGCATACTTCGCCAAGAAAATATTATTTTCTAAGTGCAGATGCTAAGATGAGTATGTACTCAGGGTAACGCAGGCAAGCAGGCAGTAGCATGATGAGTACACACAATCAGGATGATGCAGAAAGGGTAAAAAAAAAGACAAATGCACAAAAATGGGTATTGTACTATTTTTTTAATTGTTAAATTGCCTACAGAATAAAAAAAGTAGTAATACAGTATGATAATTACAGTTATTGGAATACTCTGGACTACAGAGTAAAGTTCACTGATCTCTCAAGCACAGCAACCAGCCCTAAAGTTTGGGAAGAGGGGGGTTCAAAGTTCTCATGACCTGTCTTTCAAATGTCTCTGAATGCAAGAAGGCATTATCAAATCATCAGGTGAGATATGCTCAACAAAAACGTGAAATGGCACAAACACACAAAGAAAATGAAACTAAGAAAAATGTCATGAAATGGTGGAAACTGAATTTAAACTCTATGAGAATAAAAAGCTGAAAATTAACTATATTAATTTCGGGATTCATCCCAAATATCACAGCACAGATATGCAACTGGAAATTCTTTAACCTGTACATGATTCATCCCTTTTATTTGAATTGTAGTTCTTCTGTTTTCAGAAAAATTTCAGTAGCATCACATGTGCAGGACGTTTCCTTGACAGGTTCACTTCACAGAGGTAGCTACATGTGACTGGCTTGACCTTCACCTTTCCCCTCCTATCTTTGTGCCTTTCCAGCCTCGCTCTCAGGTCATTTGCTCAGAGATCTTTCTGTATCCCCAACCCATGGGGGATAGGGGAATGGAGAAGTAGAGAAATACCATCATGAGCAGGGGCTTGGGGGGGAGGGCTTTGAGGGGGGTTCAGACCCCCTGAACCCCTCCCTAGCTTGTGCCCTTGCTCAAGCATTCCATAATGCAGAGTTGACTTTTTTGTTTGATATTGGATGATATAGACCATGGGTGTCAAACTCAAATTAGTCAGCGGGCTGCATTCCTTACCAGGCAGATGCCTGTGGACTGCACCCATAATTTTCCACCAAAATTTGTGTTAACAGTCAATCTAAAGGGAAATTTCAAGAACAGATGGTAGGCTGTATGTTTGACACCCCTGAAATATTTGATAGATAAATTGCAAGCTTGACTTTGCATTGGCTGAAGAGTATCAGTTTAACCAGCAGGTTATCAACTGTTACCAAGGCATAACAACACTCTTTTTTGTAATACTTATTAAAGGTTGCTGCAGACTGATGAAAGTCATCAAAGTCCACATTGACAAGATAACACAGGGTGGCTAAAAAAATAAAAGAACATTCTTCCAAAGGAGAAATCTCTAAGACCAGCATGCCTCCACATTATAGGAAAACAGGAACTCCTGTGCATAGTGACATTGATGTAACCATAGATTTAGGTGGCCCATGAAAACCAAAGGCAAATCCAACACCATCAAGTACAAAGAAATGAAATTTTTTTGCTTAATTAAATTTTTCCAAATTAATAATGAAAATATAATACAAATGACTTTTTTGATTGAAATAACCCATTATTGGGAAATATAAGAAAAGGACATTGGCTATTGGTAACTTTGGTTCAACCACCTAACCAAGTCCAATAATCAAGAAAGTAATGCGCAATTTAACATGCTGCATAACTGCCATCATGCAAAGGCAATGGTCAAAATAGAAAGTAATATCAAATGAGATTATGGAACAAGGCTATAGTGATGCCAAATCATAGCAAGTAAGAAACAACAAAAGTGATAAGACTAACCTGGGAGGTAGTGCTACCCCTAGGTTAGCAAAGATCAAATTGGTTCTCTCCTTGCAGTGTGAGCCAGAGGCCACAGGCAAAGCATGAGCAGAAGTTGCATTTTTGTCTTGGTCCTCCAGTTGACTGGGGCATGACCCTGATCTAAAGTGCATATGCCAACACTCATGTAAAGCAAACAAACAAACAAAAAAAGCTAACAACCAAGAGGACAAGCAACTGGAAAAGCATGCCAATCAGCAACTCACAGCACACAATCATGACTTGTTCTAACCTGACATGCACTGGTGAACCAAAAGATGAAAGAGAAAAGTCATCATCAAAGCCAGGATTCTCTTCCACCAGGAGGAAGGATTTAGTGGGACGGGTAATCTTTCGTGCTGGGCGAAGCTTGAAGTCCCACTTCCCGCTACCCTTTTTCACAATACCTACTGCTGAATTCTTCTGCAAGACCAAAAAGTGAAAATCCAGTCCACAGTCTATTTTGTGGCTGTCCAGCAGATGCTAAAGTAAACTAAAAACTTACCTTGTTGGGAGCCTTGGCAGCCATGGATGATGGAAGGGTGATGTTGGGTGGGGTGAACTGAGGATTAGGATTCAGGAGAGACTTCATTAAGGTTTCACTTTTGCCACGGCGGGATGGAGAATTGGTACCATGAGGTCTTGCTCGAAGGGATCCTATTGTGGGTGGTGCTGCATATAACACAATCACCATCACCACCATCATCATGAACCAGGAAAGCCAGTCAGACAAGAATTGTGAGGAATGAAGAGAGTAATGGCAGGTAGGAACAAAATATATATATATATATATATTTTTTTTTTTGGATTGCTTTTGCATGATCATAATATTAATTTCTATGACCCTACCTGTAAATGACAGAATTAACATTAACTTAACTGCATAATATCCCCATATCTTGAATATGCATTTTTTATATAAATTTTTTATCAATGCTTTTGAAATTAATTCCCTCAAAAAATCACATTCAGACTTCTGAGATTTAGAGCTTCAAAAAAAATCTGGGAATTAGGGTACCTGGTACAAATTAGCAAAATGAAAGCACTCAAAGTGATCCAGGTTAATCCAGCCTATCAGAAAGTTAATCAGAAAGAGCAAATAAATCTAGATGAGTGAATTATAAGCAAATGTTCAGGCATACTTGTATAACCACAGTTTGAGATAATTATGACTGACAATGATTTCAATTAATGCCCCTAGATTTCAGGTAAGGGATGTATCACAGTTTCTGCACACAATAGCATGAGCCATCTGAGTAAATGAATTAACTCCTTTCACTTGTGGAAGAGGAATTTACAGTAGATGCTAATCTTACACAAGAAGAATAACAACTCCATTCATAATCCTCCTCTACATTTATCCCAACTCAAATGCACGGAATTACCAGGTTCAAATTTTGTTGTAAAGGCAGTAAGATATTCTTGCATAAATTTGGGCCTTTTTGTATAGCTCTCAGTGTTTCCCTTGCAAATCACACATGAGTAACAGCAAGAATAGCCCCAAAAATCTGGACTTACTGTCATCAGTTAGAGTAAAAAGTCAACAAAGAAAAAAAAATTAAAATAGAATGGTGGTTTCATGGCAGTTGAAAAACTTGAGAAGATGGCCTTTTGCAATTAGCATGTAAGCAAAGTCTGCACCAGCTTGGATAACCTTACTGACTTTGTGAAAGGAATGGATAGAAGGGAAAGCATGTCAGCCACACATGTACATGCATTGCAGGGAATCAAGGATGAGACAAATAATAAATATAACAAGAAAACAAAACTGTGATGACTGATAAATACCAGGAAGTGAAGGTGCAGAAGCAGAGTGACTTAAGGCTCCAGATGCAGATTGGTTCTGAGACTTTGGAGCAGCAGCTGCTCCAGCTTCACCAACTCCCCCCACTTCTGTCCTCAATGGCAGATGCTCTGGACTTCTTTGCCTATAATCCAATGATCAATAATATGTCCAAATTTCATTATTTATCTGATTGGAAAGAAAGTTCTCGGAATTTCATGAACAATTATTACAACCCAGTTTATTTAAAAGCAAAATCATCTCAATCATGAATGTAATCACCATTGGCCTCTATCACTTCATGCCAACGTTTATGCAAACTATGGATGCCATTCCAATAGAACTCTGGCGGCTGCGCTACGAAAAAGTTGGCCAAATCGGTTTTCAGGTCGTCTTGGTTGGCGTACTGCTTTCCACCCATGTGACGGTCCAAGGCAACGAAAAGGTGATAATCGGACGGGGAAAGGTCGGGGCTGTAGGGCGGATGCGGCAGCACCTCCCAGCACAGGTCCAGTAACTTTAGATGAGTCTGTCTAGCGGTGTGCGGCCGGGCATCGTCGTGGAGGAGGATGGTTCTCTGTCTTTCTGGGCGTGTTTCAGCCAGTTTCTGCTGCAGCCGATCGAGTTGCTGGCAGTAGTAGGCAGCAGTGATGGTGGTGTTTTGCGGCAACAGCTCAAACATGATGATGCCTTTCGAATCCCAGAAGACCGAGAGCATAATCTTTTTGGGGTGCAACTCCTGACGGGGTTCTCTTTCGGCCGATGCTCCGGCGTCCACCCACTGACGTTTTCGTCGAATGTTGGCATAGAAGGTCCACTTTTCGTCGCCTGTCACCACTGAGTCTAGCCAATCCGTTCGGCGCGAACGTGACAGAAGGGAGATGGCCATGTCTACTCGTCGCTGGCGGTCCCGATCATCCAGCTTGTGGGGTACCCAGCACCCCAACTTTGCCTTCTTGCCAAGCTCAGCCAGATGATGAAGGATAGTTGTATGGGAGACACCCAGCAAGTCCGCAAGCTCTCGCGATGTTTGCCGGTTGTTGGCCTCCAGTGCCTCCTGCAAGGCAGAGTTATCAAACTCCGAAGGACGACCGGTGCATGGCTGGTCTTCCAGGCTTTCATTTCCTTTCTGGAAGCGACTGTACCAATCATAGGCAGTGCTCTTGGACACAGTGTCCGGGCCAAACGCGGTATTGATGTCAGCGATGGAATTGGCTGCCTTCTTCTTGATTCGGAAGTCATAAAGAAGAAGCAGGCGAACTTGCTCCTTAGTACGAGGGTAGGGCTGGTTCATGGCTGGAGAGCACCAGGGCTGTAATAATATACAGTTGTATGCCGAAGGACACGACCTACTTATAAACACACGCAGAACATTCTAGCATGCTCTGGAAAAAAATTGTACTGGATATTCAAGAAATTCTGAGAACTTTCTTTCCAATCAGATACATGACTCTGGTGCATGATAAAAATGAAAGGAAATGTATCTCACAGGGGCTGAACATAGTTCCCAGGGAAAACACCGGATTTTGTAGAGCCAGAGGCCATGCCACGATACCATCCATCTTGACACTTCTCAGTCACTTGATACATTTCTCCTTTCACTAGTTCTAACTCATCAGACTTGTTGGGTTTGTATGCAAATAATGCAACATACCTGAAAGGCAAGCACCACTGGTGTTAGCATTGAGCAATTTGCTCAAATGCACTAAACAGAACTTATATGGTATAGAGAATGGCATAAAATGCCTTTTTCAACCTGCATTCTGTAGGACCTGGTTGAAAAAGGAAATCTGATGAAAATGAGCTCAGCAAGAGGAATTGTGTCTATTATATATAGCATTACAATTGACTCTGGCTCTCCACATGAAGCATGAAGAAAAGCAAGGAAGATGTATTGGAATTTTGGCTTTGAGCCAACATCAAGGTAACCAAATATCCTGAAACAGCACAGCTAAGGACATGAAAATTCTCCCTGCCTTCACTTTCACTCAATATCCTGTATAAAGATAATTTGAATTTGGGTAAGTGGATTTAAAAAAACTGGCTGTGACACCCAACCTCAAACAGAGTTTTGGTAATTAAAAAAAACTGCAAAAAAACCAATGAAACCATAAAATCCTACTTTATTATTCTACATCTTACAGCTTACAGCTTACAGGCTGTGCGGTACTCAAGTTATCTCAACCTAGAGTTTAGAGCCAAAGCAGAATCTGTCCCCATGAAAAAAGAGCACATACCAAAATTGTCACAGACCTGTTTTTATTGAATAAATATCCACTTACCCATTTTATATTGACAAGTTCATACTCCTCTGTAATACTTTGGCAATGTGTCAGATTTTGAAGGCATTTGCAATGACCTTTTCTGATTGTTATAAGCATAGCATCGCTGTATTTTTAGGCAATTATGATATAATAGAGGCTAGGGAGCAATTTGATTCACTATGGGATAGAAATACTTACTGGGGAGACCTCTGTGTAGGAGGAGGAAGTTTTGGTCTATTTGGAGGTCGAGGTGGAGGGGTTTTTTTGGCTGGAACAGGCAAGGGAACCCTCTGTCCCTCCAAGTCCTGCTGAGATTGTTGATGCTCCTTTGTCTCCTTGCAGAATGCAAACAAATAATCACCAGTCATGAAAACTGCACTTCATATGCATGTACATGTAACACTTTGGGGATAAGTGCTTTGATATTTCTGTTATTGAAGCTTTCTCTTAATATTTCTTAATTAAGGCTGCTTCATGATCAATTAAGTTAAACCAGTTTGTCACAAGCAAGCACACATATACTGGATGGCAGAATCATGTTGACCTGTATCTGTACAACTAGAGTAATGTCAAGTATTGGTGCATTTCACTTGGAACAATAGTGAGGAGCTGCTTTGTCGTCTAGTATACTAGATTAACAGAAAAAAATCTGCCTATTTCCTCATTTGAGTCCATGGAAAAGAGGGACACACATGTCCTATATTTAAAAAACAGTAATGCCTGAGTTCTGAAACTTCCTTTTCCTTCACATGCATTCAAAATCACTGTGATGTCTGCTACGTCTGCTGGCTATCTACTGGCACAGGTAAGATGTGACTGACATCCAATATGATAATGTGCTTTCAGGACATCTCACAGGTAGGAAATAGCTATAATTCCAGTTGGACCACAATTGTAAATTCACTCATTCCAACTTGGGAACAGCTAGAAAGTAAAGTCAGATCCAGATTGGGTCCTAACTGCAACATCTAAGATGGATAGAGAATGTTGGATTTTTTTTGTTGCTATTCTTGTCTATGGAAACAGCTCATAAACTGGATGCAATCCAGTTGGAAATTTTCAGCTGTAAAACAGCCTCCATACAGTATTTCCCAGCTCTTTGCCAGCTGGAAAGGCTCTGAATTTAAAACTTTAGTCCAGCATGGAAAATTCCAGTTGGGATTAGAAATTGGAACTTGATGCTTATGCTGTCATGCAAAACTGCAAAAATATTACTTCGACAGGGATTGTTCTGCCCTTCCTTTTTTTGCCTCAAAACTCAAGGGTGAAGGGGTTAAATGACTGGTGTGAAGGGTTAATGGTCCTTTAAAGAATTGATGGACTCCTATTGAAGAAAGGGAGTACTTCAGCTTAAAGGCCCTTTTATCTTGCATAAATAAGGTTTCAGTATTTGGATCCAAGTATTTGCAATATGCATGATGTTAAGGAATCTGCTAGTTACCCCTGATGCATCTGAATGGGCCTAGTATTAAAAAAAAATTGTAGATAGGAATTTTCACATTTCATCAACCATTTATATGGCAAATACATATTGTGAATATAAAACCATGGCATCCTCCTTATCCATGCATAAGACATATGGATTTTGATGCAAGGAAATGGGCAGAATCTTTTTTACCTCACTTCCTGCAGAACTAGTATATCTCACAGCACAACAGCTATTTACTCCTATTCGAACAGAAATGCACAGGTTCATGTATTACTATCACTATAAAAGTAAACAGTGTGGGGTGTGAACAAAGTAAAACATTTTCCAATAACTAATTCCATTTTAGTCTCATAGCTATGGCAGAGGTAATGACTTACTTTGCAGGGGTTAGTAATAGAACTGGTACCTAATTTCTCTTCCAAGGTAAAGTCAGTGGCATTAAGCAGTACTACAGTAATGTACTACTTCTCAATACATACACACATAAATATATTTTCAAAACTGCTTATCCCAATTTACTGGGGTTGTGGTTGGAGCAGGCCTAGAAGTATCTTCCAGTGTTAGTGATCCTGGGCAATAGGCTTGAGCTGGGCAGGTGGTATACCAAGCCCTTTGTGGCAATGATTTCCAATGTTGTCCATCCATCTTGTACAAGGCCTAATGACTGGTATTTTGCTGGTCAATTTAGATTGGAGGACTCACTTTGGGAGTCTCTCAGAAGGCAAGCAGGAATTGTGTTCAAACCACTGGACCCGAGATCTCTTGCTCCAAAGTAGTAGTTGCTTCACATAGAAGTTCTCACAGCTGGTGGCACTATGTATCATTTCATAATGTATTACAAATTGCCACTCATTGTAAGAACCTCATTTTGGTTGTCTGTATCCATGACCTGTTCCTTTTGGTCATATCCCAAAGTTCATGACTATGGGTAAGAGTTAGGAGGAAAACACTCCTTGAAACTGAAAGTTTTGCCTACTTTAAAATCTCAGATTTGGCAACCACAGCCTTCAAGAGTTCCTGTAAAATGTCAGAAGCCCAGGAGATGCATTTGTCGATCTTGTTTCTATATCACCTGTCACTCATGAACCAGACCCTGAGGTACTTAAACTTCTCCCCCAGTTCCAGTGGAGTCCTCCTAACAACTAAGGTACACTACACTGAACAGGACTTCTTGAGAGGACTATAACCTGCATTTTGGGAATGCTCAATTTCATTCCCATTGCAGTACATCGTGATTCAAACCAGTTGAGCAGGCTCTGAAGCTCCTGTTGAGACTGGGCTAAAATGATGGCATCATCAGCAGAGAGAAGTACGTCTCAATTTAAAGTATAATGCTAAATGAAAGTAACTAGCATCCTATTACTACATTCATCCCTTCAATTGCTATAATCCCACACAAAATTGAAAATGCTCACTAATTAAATGAGTCTAACACTGCTTAAACAGGTCAGCACAATTCTGCCACCTACAATAATGCTTCCAAAATAGCAAGCACCAGCACTGATATACAGGGCGTTTGGAAAGTAACTGCAATAGAGACAGAACCAGTTGCATCCAGAAAGATAAGTCATTCAGAAAAATGCACTTATTGCTAGTGATTAAATACTACAAAACCATCACAAAACAGATCAAAAGTAAGAGAAGACCATTTTGAACTGAAATTCATGAATAGTTCAGCAGCAAATCCATAGCAATTGCTGAAAATGGGATCATTTCATTGCAGTTACTTTTGAAACACCCTGTACAAGTGGTGAGAGTAGAAATGCTGAGGATACACAATGTAATGTCTCAAAACTGGAAGCAGTATAAGCAAACAAAATTAATTCCATATCAGTGCCATACCTGCAAGTTTGATGGTGAACCTTGTGCGTCTATTGGGGATGAAGCATCACCAGAAACTTCCAATCCCAACAAAAGGTCTTGAACTCCCAATAGCTCAGCCAATGAGTTCTTCCTCCTGAGAAAGAAAAGTATGACTTTTGATGATGATGAATAAATCAATCATAAAATTTATTGAAAAACCTTTCAAAGGATATGAGATAAGAAATTAACATGATCTGCTTCTTCTTTCATATGGGGTAACAAAAGCAGATATTAAAGATAAAGGTTGATGGTTGAAATCTAGCTACTTGCTTTCAGAGTGGGGAGTGGATTTTTGCTATTCCTCTGGTGAAGGAGCATAGCAGGCATGAGTTCATGATGTGATCCATGGTTTGGGACATGTAGTCATATTCACATCTCAGAGAATCATTAATGTGATATCAATTAATGTTTTCATTATGTAAAAGCTCTATGATGAAAAAACCTTTCCTGTGAATGGCTACTTAGCCACTTCAGCCCCAGTGACATGTGTGATCATTAAATGTGGCTCCATAATCCAAGTGATGAATATATCATTGTCATCAGTAGATTTTCTCAGAAGGAGAACAGCTAATTTCTTTCTTGAATACCAGCACTGAAACAAATTTAATATAGTCTCACTTTTTCATGGTGTGTGTAGTTGAATTAAAATGATTAAAATTATGAATTTAAAGTAGGCAAAATAAAATCTTGAGTTTTTGCTAATGGACTATATAGCTAGTCAAAGCAGCTACTTTTTGGGAATGAGAGATCTCATATTCACTAGTTTGGATACATCTGCCACATGTCCCCTAAGAGACTCTCCCAGAAAAGTGTGATTAGTTGGTAGACCTCGCACAGTGTTTAGTCCACAGTATAGATGGGTGACGAGCTTCACACATTCACTACATTATGATTTGCTGGTGGATTGCACAATACAAAATGTTAAAGATACCATGGGATGAGGTGGACCATGATTACAATGATGTAACACAGGATACACAGGACACAATACACAAGGATTGAGCTCATTTCAGTTTATGCAGTATGTCTGGTGTGCAAACTATATTGAAGTTTAAAAATCAGGTGACCTAGACAGTGCCTGTGATAATAAATCATCAAGCTTTGACAATTATCCTATCTCTGTTGTTTACCTCTTCAACTTTGACATTATGAAAAATTTGCATCATACCAATCACTTTTCTTTGGTGGAAGTTCATCTTGATTTTCCTGAATGCAAGTAGTAAATGGTTGAGAGTCCTGGCGACTGGATCGCCTGAAGAAGGGAGGTGGTGGCAAGGGACTGAGTGCAGCAGTGTTTGAAGTAGATGGAGATGAAGGTAATGATGATGATGAGGAAGTGGAGGTGGTGGTCACAGTCCCAAGACTCATAGAAGAAGCAGGAAGATTTGATTCAAAAGCATCACTAAATGGATTTGTGCTTGATTTCTGAGGTAGAGGGGGCACACTTCGTGATGGACCACTGTGAAACCTGAAAAAAAAAAAAGATAGCAAGTCAAATTCAATCTGGGCCCACACTCTTCCTACTACATTGCAACACCTATAACCTCTCATAACATTACCAGAAGAACTGTCATTACTGCTGATCATAGGGACTCCTCAATGTGCACTAGCAAATCACATGGAGTGGAAATAATATTAAATAGTGACCCAATAAAAATCATTCTACGGTATGTACACAATTAGTGCATCACCTTGATGGAAAAAGACATAACATAAACTAAATTAAAGTGTACAAAGGTGCCCATGGAAATTTTTACCTTTATCTTCAGAATGCCATTTCTCTTGAGAATACCCATGCCAAGACAAATGTTTCATAATGTGTTTTGGCAGCATGAATTAAGACTTTTCCATGATACAACATCATTTAACTTCATCAGTATTTGAGAGAAAAGTGAAGTAACAGTTATGATCATTTCAAGGATCCCCTATGAGAAAACAGATCTGGGTCAAACTGAACTCTGAATGGTGGGCTCAGAAAAAGGCACCATTAATTGGGGTGAAATGTGCTCATGTGCCCTTTATTTTCTGCTTCCCTCTCAAGTGAATTAGTTGACCAGTTCCACAAGAAACAAGCATGGATTCTGGTATAAGGAAGTTCTCACACAGCAAGCTTTATTCAACTAAAAGTGAGCAGGCTGCCCTGAAGTCAGAAGTGATATTAAATTGGATTCTGAGATTCTGAATTTGTTGAATAGCATTTATACATGAATCTCATCAAAAGAACTTTGGGGCAGGGCGAGATGCTACAGGAACAGGAGCATCTAAGTTGGAATCAAGAAATAAATTGCCAACCAATCTGGTCTGTTTGATTTCAGAACCAAACAAATAGGGTCTAGTCCAATTCCTTTGAAGTCATGGAACTGGCACAATCTGTGACCAAATTCTTGATCCAGCCATGAAAATATGCCTTTATGTTGTATGCATTCCAAGCCAACCCAGATAAAACCATAACTTTGAACAAGAATAATGGGATGACATCATGCTTTTATTTAAGGTCAATGACATTGACATGGAAATTCTAGGCTCTGATAATGAAAGATCAACTCACTCTTGAGAGAACTCCATGAATCTCTTGGCCTCTTTGTTCAAAGAAACAAAGATGAAGGGAAATATACCAGTCTGATTTCCCATCCTTCCTTCAGCCCAGTTTTCATCCACTCTTCGAAGAATTTGAATTTGATCACCCTGAAATTTTCAAGCGTAGTTATACTCAACATGAAACTTAGAAATAAGAATGTGCAAACAGTTAATTTTAAAAATTTAGTGAACAAGAATTGATATCTTCAATTCCTTCAGAAGTCTACTACAGGAAAATTTTGTAATAATAATATTATTATTAACCTAATGACCAAGGATTGATATTTGAAGCAGACTCACTTGCTTGAAAGCAAGACAATCTCCATCTCCAATTTGTTGGAAATCATAGAGGGCAGTGCAAGCAATATGAGGTAGAGGTACAACTATATGAACATGAGTGGCTGGAAAATATCCCTGCTTTTTCCCCAAACTTCCGTGGTACCAGATTGCATCAACTTTACAATTCAAGGTGATCATATCTCCCTTCTTGAAGCTCAGATCACTATGGGATTGGAAAACAAAGAACAAAACTTTAGAAAATAGGCATTAAGTAAAGTTCTCATACTAATTTTAGCCTTTACACTCACCATGGGTTATTTGCTTCATATGTGTCAATTGCTCTTGCACATGGATGAATCACCTATAGGAAAAAAAGGTACTGGTACACATAGGTGTAAGATTTGCTCTAGGACTAAATATAACTTACCTGTCATCAGATTGAACAGAAGGCACTATTTCTAAATCATAATTGCTCTCTTCATGCTGTCAATGATTCACATAGCAGTCTCAGCCTAAATGCCTATAAGAGCTAAATCATTAGAATTAGAGATGCATCCAGATACCACTGGATGCTGATACTTGGGTACACAACTTACAGAAGGGCTAAAACATTAAGAAAACAGGATACTGCATACAGCACTGGTATTTCTTCCCCTGCCTTTTCTGAGTCTAGGCTTTAATAAAAAGAATGATAGGAATTGCAATGATGAATAAATTAGAAGCCATATAATATTCTGATATGTTTCGATGGGAGACTGTCTGTCTCACAAGGAAAGGAGACATGAAGGCAGAATGGTAAGACCCCTTTTAGCCTTTTCTATTGTCCCATTATCATTTATTATATTATGGGTATTTGGTTGTCTCAAAATTTTAATAGTCAGGAAACTAGCTAAATTTTTATGCAGAAAGTTATAAATTTATCTTTAATTACAGAGGCAGGCCCATTGCCATAGGTCTGACATTTGCCTAAATATTTGATCAAAATTTGCATTAGGCTATTAATTAGGACTTTCAAGTTGGTGGTTTCAAAAACATCAATTCATCAACCAAAACCTCCAATCATTGCATCATGAAAATATATTATCACTGATAAAATGTGTCTCATGGAACCTGAAGGAAAGCTGCAACCTCAGAAAAAGACCTCAGGTATGACACTGTATGATTCATGCTTTCATGAGGGGAAGAAGCCCAGATAAAGGGAAAAAATTAAAAAGACCTGCCTCTGACACTATCCTGTCCTGTCCTGTATCATTCCTTCTACTTTCCTTTACATTTTCCTCTTATATTTCCCTGATTCTCATTTGGGATCCTGTCTATATTCATACACCTTCAAATTTTGATTCAGGTACAGGACATGTCGTGAATACTCCAGATGTCTCTTTTGTCAATATAACCCTCACAAAATTATGTCACTAATCATAAATGGTAACAGTGATGCACTAAAGTATTGGGACAACCCTACAACAAATTTACTTTGCTTTTCATTTTGTTGGAATTAAAAATTCTTCACATAAAGATGACACTCATGTAATTCAAGCCTGTACCTCTTTCCATGCATTACTGTCAGAGTCAATGGCAAGCTTCTCTAAGACACATTAAAAAATCTGAAGACATTGTAGTGTCCCACTCACAAGCTGTGGCATGGAACATGCAAGAACAGGTGAAGTCTCTGTCTCTCCAAGTGAAGTACCACTTCCAAGTCCAACAGTGAACTCCTCCATGGGTTGTGCACCAACAGGAGAGTTCATACCAATTGTAAGTCCAGGTTTCGCAGAGAAACTTGCAAGGATTCTATCTCGTTTCATGTTCCATTCAATTGATCGAATATCCTCAGCCTTCTCAACTTGAATGCTTGACCCTTGCTCCTTCTTCATTAATGTAAGATCATTGTTCCTCTTGCTCAATCTTGCAGCTTTCATGCTCTCCAAAAGACGTGCAAGTAGGATGTTTGGAGGAAGATCTTCCACCTTGCAGTTGACAATAGCACGACATTCTGGGCAACGGAGTTCCTTGTGGGCTGCAACAATATCCTCCAAACACCTTCTACAAAAGGTATGCTGGCATGGCAACACTTTGCTTGTCCCATCCATCTCCACCAAACACACAGAACACTCCAAAACATCGTTCAATAGGTTCTCATCCATCTTGAAACTGCTGATCACTGGTAGCCACTAGTGCAGGTCAATGTCAGACCTAGCATACAATGAATAAAACTAAGCATTAGCTGACATGGTAAAAAAATTAGCAGTGCATAAAGTTCTAGAAGTATAACAAATCCCAGTTCTCTGTACCCTCTAATTCCTCTCTGCTCTCTTTCTTCAATTGTGCATGTTTGCATACAAGTTCCAACCATTTATTACCTTTGTGAAGTCCTACATCATTAAAATTATTTTTAATTCAATAGATAAGCTTCTTTTTCAAAGATCAATAGGTCTAAATTAGTTGCAGAGCAGTCAGATCTGAATGACTTGGCCTTGCATAGTGCACTGAAGAAATCAATCTCAGAAGCCATCAATGATGAGTTAAACCACATTTTGGCCTACAGGACTTTAGCAGGAGTAAAGTTATACTAGCCTTTGTAACAGGCACACACTCTCAGAAATAACTCTAGCCACCTGCAGCCTAGAGGCTGCACCTAGAGCCTATGTGCTCCACTCACACAAAAATGCCTAAAGAAAACAAAGACTTTGCATGGGGTTATATGAGTGTGAACATTACATTAACTTTTCCCAATCATGCACATGTACAGGTAAAGAGAAGGCCTATGTCTGACTGGGGCTTAACTTAGGTGATATGCCAAGTATGACCAACTGGGTTCTCTTCTTTCTTTCTGGTCAAAAGGGAGAAGCAAAATGAAAACTTTGTCTACAACTAAAACTTACCCAAATCCTGGACATGGGAAACTTTCTCTTTAGATTCATTCTAGCCAAATTCATGCAAACAAAAAATAACTGCAGGAGTGCTGAATAGTTAGGAGTGTCAAGCACAATCAGGAGTCAATAAGCTAAACATGTACTCACTCCAATCCTGATTATGGTATAATTATAATTCCCAACCCTTAATTGGAAGCATTAGGTAATCAGGCTGTCACATCTTGGTGTGCACTATGTAAAGATAAAAGAGGGTTTACAGTGTTAGCATAGTTCATGAGAACCAAAATACTTAGGACTACTTTAGATATAGATCTAGTCAGGTGCAAGTCCCTGTTTCGGTTCCTGTGCAATCGAGAATGACTGAAGGGCAAGCATTGTGACACTAAGCATTAAGACCTGGTAACTTCCCCTGAAAATGCATTGGATGATTTTCAAATGATTTTTCAATACTGCTCCAATTTAGAGAAAGTTAATGCCACTATTATCAACACTTCTTGATGCTGGCACTGAAATCTACCCATGTCTGTTTGTCCTTTGCACGCTCTGCGAGAAGGCCTCTCGTTTAAAGAAATTTCATTTTCATCTGAAGGGAAATAAGGGACTTAAAGGAAGCAAGACCTAACAAAACGAAAGCAAACGCAGTAGGCCGTTCAGTTCATTTATCGTAAGGTTTTAGAAGGCGCTATCGTCATTCGAAAGTCAACATAACCAAGGCCTCCGGATGGGCAGTTTATGAAGTGGTGAGAGGAGAGACCACTGGGTGTGCTTAACATGCTGTGTAAAACGCCATACTGGACCTCCAGAAGAACCAATCAACGACGAGAAATTACAACGGCAGTAAGTGCCTCCTGCTCATGCGCTCCCCCCATGAGGAACAGGAAGAAGATCATGTTCCATTTCCACCTTGCTAAGCTATGTTCCTATCTTTCCTTTTCCCTTTCACAGAGAAATTGTAGCAGATGCGCAGAATATGCTTTCCGTACCCCTGTTTATGACTGTTTATGATTCGACTAATCCATCCGGATGCGGAACGGGATCCACACAGGAAATCCAATGTTATCAAGTGGCCTCCAGTTTATCGTAAGCTCCAGAGGCAGTAAAACTTTTATTTATTATCGGAAGCTTCTGCGTAAAGCTTCTTCGGACTGCTCTTTTGCGGAGAACAGAAATTAAGTTGTTCTCAAATCTCAAATGAAATCTCAAATCGAGTCTCAAATGTAGAACCAGCAACTCTGGTGAGTAAATGACATGGGCACCAATAAGGAGCGGATTGTTGATGGCCTATCACTGATAACTCAATTTTTAGTCTCACACATCGTTCTTGCATGTGAAATTAGACGGGGAAAATTGAGAGTTCTTCCTTCTTCTGACGTAATATGTCTTCCTGACGTCTCAATGATTGGCTCGTAGGTGAGTGCTTTTTGAGTGAATTGGTGAGAGAAAAAACTTGACTCGGAAATGTGTAATGATTTACGTAGATCGCAAGGCATGGAAAACGGAGAGAATAGGCAACTATTACCGGTATTATACTTCTTGTATTGTCCAAGGCGAGAAGAGCCTGGAATCTTGATAGCAGGCTCTCCTCGCCAGCCCCGATAGATACCCTGACAATTTCGTTTCGTTTGAGTACGAGTACGACGCAATGCTTTATTGCGATATTGACAAGACCTCTGTTTATCTAGTTTCTGTGTTTCATGGCTTCCGAACGACCTGCAGAACCAAGGGAGGACTTCTTATTTTCAAGTGATGGTTGTGATTCGTCCATGCCCATTCCCCTTCCTTAAAATCTTTCTTGATGTTCTCAAACGTTCATATTCCAAGAATAAGAAGGCAATGAACGCCCTGAATGTTCATCCCGTAATTCATTGATCAGTTTGAGGGAATTGGGAATGGCCAGTTTCAGTACTGACGTTCTGATGTCCCCCTTTGAGAAGTGCTGATCGCATTCCTGTTTTGCGTTATGGAATCATTGTCTCCACGATATAAATGTTTCAAAGACGATATGACGTATTCGAAAGGCTATGAAGGAATCTCAGCTTTATAAAGGAAAAGTAGAAAAAGGGGCCTTCTTAAAGGTGGCTAATGTTTGTTCTACTAACTAAGTATCAAAATGCTGAATAATACGATAGGGTCTCATTTTCTCCACGATTCCTAACTTCTGACTCATACTCACTACTGAACAAAAATACTAGTTTCTGACAGAAAAATTCCTCGTGCTCGTTAATAATTCGTACCTAGCTGTTAAAACTCGCTAGTTTGATCGTAAAATAGGGCAGACAATTTAATTTCATGATTATATTGCAAACATTTTCACAAAATTAACATGACCAATAATGGAGCCTAAGAGGTGCGACGGTGCCCCCTTTTCGCCTCCAAAGGGGAATTCATGAGTGAAGACAACACTTTTTATGTTGGCCAGTAGTGTATATGTAAATATTTATGCTCTTGCTGGAGCTGTTTTCCTAAAACTTGCAGTGCACATAAATTGACAACAGATTTGCAAAATTTAAGCTAATTTTTTTTCCAAACCAAGGCCATGAACGATTGGAATTCAAGAGAAATTGAAAGTGGACTAGACGTGACTAGGTGTGACTAGACTCTGCATCCTTGTTCCGTGTGAACGGAGGGAAAATATGAAGGAACGTAGAGCAAGCTGTCTGTAATACTTTTTGATTCGTCAGGTATTAGTTGCTAAAGAAGCTTATCAAATTCATCCTTAAAAAGGGATGAATTTGAATCGAAGAGATGGTTGGTGTGGCCTGGATGAGATGCAGCCACAGCATTTGAGCGTTTTCTCCCCTTTTCTATCACCGAGTGTCCATTTTCCTATCTTTCTTTAAATAATTCCTTGCATGACTGAGTTGCGATTAAATTTCTAGTCTTCGGTGAACATATATGTATGGTGCTTTTTTTCGTAAAAATTGCAGTAGCAAGAGCAGAAATGTATTTATATTAAGTCGATAGTCAATAAATTTGCTCTATTCTAGTTGATAAACCACTGGTCGCCGCCTCACATTCCCCGATCCCATGAAAACATGTTCTGTCTGCACTGACATGGAGAGTAGCTGAGCGCCTAATTCGTAATAAGACTGGTTAATTTTCTTTTAGAAAAGCGTTTTCAAATGGCGTGAGCGTGTAAAAAAAATGGCGAAACTTGGCGAAGGGAGACAGACTGGAATGCTGAGGATGAATGCTAGTTGGACGAACGAGGAAGAATCCAGTTCCGCTTTCAAGAATCCATGCCCATCCCAATCTGTGCAAACGGATGTCACGACTTCCCGGGAATGGAGTTTTCTACACAAAGAGAGAAACTATGGTCGAAGGGGGCAGTGCAGAAAGGAAACAGATACGGTGGGATTCCTTCAAAGGCATCATCGTCAAAGACGGGCTGGCGGATCTCAAGTTCCTACTGATACTTCCGGCGCTGCCACTCTTTCCGGAGTATTTCATTCCCCATTTAGAGGGATTCTTATTTTCTGCTTTTTTCGTGGATTCTCAGCAGTAGCCACAATATGAGATTCCGTTTAGGACTTCTCGTCGGACAGGAAAGGAGGTAGAGAAGCGAAAGACACGAAACTGGATCCACAGTTTCCGACTTTGGTGTCTCTGTTGGTCCTGCTGCTTGTGAATGGCTACTGTTTCGTGAGATCCATGTTCCCCGACGGAAGCTACAATCCCTTCGAGAATCTCCTGGCCAATATCTGGTTCCTCGGGTGCACTGCTGCAACGGTCCCCAGCATCCTCGTCTACGGTATAGGAATCCGTACTTGTCCCAACCAGAATAACCTATTTGATTTTGTTTTCTTAACGGGATTGGATGGATTTCGTACTTCACTTAGTAGGTTTTTGAAATAACACATTGCGGACCGGCACCCTACATATAACGTAGATTTTAATAATACAATAAATAAATACAAAGCAATAATTGCGCAGCCGACGGTAAAAAAAGGAACTAAAAGAAACATCAGAATGTCTACAATCCACACAAGCACATCTCAGTACCAAATAATACATAGAAAGAATCACAAAAGCGTCAAACTGCACCCTACATGAAAACACAAATTTGTCTCCCGTCCTCAATATGTTAAGATAGGGTAATCGAAATGAACATTTAGGAATAGATAAAACCTATTCAGCACCAGGCTGTCCAGAATTTTACCAGTTCAATTCGATCAAGTGCGAAATGAATCCTGTCGCATAGATGGTAAAGAGGATAAGTTCGATGGTTGAATCTCGGACTCGTCCCCTTAGCTTCTATGCCACAGAAGCTGGATGCACTCGAAGCAGACACTAATTCAGCGAATTACCTGTGAATGCGTGGG